GACAGCCGGGCTCGAAGAGCGCGACACCGACGTTCAAGGCTCTAGGTTAGGGGGGTCTGAAATGGCAAGCCGGAATCTAAAATGCCTCTTTAAGACCCATTTCAGACCCCTGGTTCCCTGAAGGGTCATTTAAGACCCCCCGCAAACTGAGGGAAAAAGCCCTGTAACCTGCAAGCTCTCAACCCTAAACCCGAAGCCCTCCGATGCCGTCTGACATGTCTGAACGGAAGTTGTGGACAAAAACGCTCGGGGCTTGGGGCTTTTGGGCCCCGGACCAGGCCTTGGGCCTTGTTCGAGTGCTTGGCGGGAATTTAACTTCGGAGCACTCCGTAGCACTCCGGGCCTTGGCTCCCTCAGCACCGATCTCGTTGCCAGCGAGGTAGATTGTGGAGACGCTGCCGTTCGTCTTGAGGGCCTCGGCTAAGGCCTGCGGCGAGGGGATGGTGCAGGTGCGCAGCTGGCGGCTTTGGGGGAGCACGCGGGGCCGCCTTTATATCGGCTTGGGGCTGGCAAGGGGCTGTTGTATGGGGCTTCCGGAACCCCCAGCTATTCCGGGGAGCGATCTGCTGCTGCAATCAGAATTCCAAATCTACGCCATGCCCTTGCTACATCTGGTCACAAACCTGAAAAAGAATTCTACACTCGAAGGCAATACGTCGTCTACGAAGATCAACTACAGTACGAAGTAGCAACGTTTAGCAGCACACATGAGAAGAAGGATTACAGCAACATGAAGGAGCAATACACCAACAAAACTGGTAAAGCGCAGCATTCTGGCCTGAATTCACTTCAGGCCTCGATGTGGAAGAATGTGCGATCTCAGGTTTATGCATGGGACGAACCGTGACATCGCGAAGGCGCAACTTGCCAATCAACGGGCTCAATTTCGCGTAATTCTGTTCTGAAACATGATGGTCTTCAAGGCTGCTCAGCCTTCCTTCACACGCTTTCGGGTGCCACAACTAGCTTTGCACCAGCTTTGCGCACCAATGGCCTTGGGGCGCGTTCCGGGAGGCCATCGCTTCCGCTATGTCAGTTCCTGACGATGCCTTCTAAGAAGCGTGATTGTCCCTAGAGTTGTACATACGGTTGTCATCGAAGTCCCTCGACTACACCCTCCCGTAATATCCCGTACACCGTACTCTTTCTGCCATATTGCCTGCGAGTGGAGTATGTGGGCGGAGGGGCGAGGTGGTCCCGCGAAATATGCGGGACTATTTCCATGGACCACAGTGCTTCTGGTCAGAGTCAACGATGATTCCATCGCTAAACAAAATGCGCGAGCCCAGAAAAGCATCCCCTCAGGTTGTCAGGGGAGGGGCCTAGGGCGCCCATTTTAGACCCCTAACTGTGCTACTTCCCAGGGACTGGGCATAATCCGGGCAACCCATTTCAGACCTTTTGTTGGCTATAAAGACTGCATCTGCAACATGGCTAAGACGACAGCCGGGCCCGAAGAGCGCGACACCGACGTTCAAGGCTCTAGGTTAGGTTAGGCGGGTCTGAAATGGCAAGCCGGGGTCTAAGATACCTCTTTAAGACCCATTTCAGACCCCTGGTTCCCTGAAGGGTCATTTAAGACCCCCCGCAAACTGAGGGGATGAAAAAGCCCTGTAACCTGCAAGCTCTCAAGCCTAAACCCGAAGCCCTCCGATGCCGTCTGACATGTCTGAACGGAAGTTGTGGACAAAAACGCTCGGGGCTTTGGGCTTTTGGGCCCCGGACCAGGCCTTGGGCCTTGTTCGAGTGCTTGGCGGGAGTTTAACTTCGGAGCACTCCGTAGCACTCCGGGCCTTGGCTCCCTCAGCACCGATCTTGTTGCTATCGAGGTCGATACGGGTGACGCTGCCGTTCGTCTTGAGGGCCTCGGCTAAGGCCTGCGGCGAGGGGATGGTGCAGGTCCGCAGCTGGCGGCTTTGGGGGAGCACGCGGGCCGCCTTTATATCGGCTTGGGGCTGGCCAGGGGCTGTTGTATGGGGCTTCCGGAACCCCCAGCTATTCCGGGGAGCGATCTGCTGCTGCAATCAGAATTCCAAATCTACGCCATGCCCTTGCTACATCTGGTCACAAACCTGAAAAAGAATTCTACACTCGAAGGCAATACGTCGTCTACGAAGATCAACTACAGTACGAAGTGCAACGTTTAGCAGCACACATGAGAAGAAGGATTACAGCAACATGAAGGAGCAATACACCAACAAAACTGGTAAAGCGCAGCATTCTGGCCTGAATTCACTTCAGGCCTCGATGTGGAAGAATGTGCGATCTCAGGCTTATGCATGGGACAAATCGTGACTTCGCGAAGGCGCAACTTGCCAATCAACGGGCTCAATTTCGCGTAATTCTGTTCTGAAACATGATGGTCTTCAAGGCTGCTCAGCCTTCCTTCACACGCTTTCGGGTGCCACAACTAGCTTTGCACCAGCTGTGCGCACCAATGGCCTTGGGGCGCGTTCCGGGAGGCCATCGCTTCCGCTATGTCAGTTCCTGACGATGCCTTCTAAGAAGTGTGATGGTCCCTAGAGTTGTACATACGACTGTCATCGAAGTCCCTCGACTACACCCTCCCGTAATATCCCGTACACCGTACTCTTTCTGCCATATTGCCTGCGAGTGGAGTATGTGGGCGGAGGGGCGAGGTGGTCCCGCGAAATATGCGGGACTATTTCCATGGACCACAGTGCTTCTGGTCCGAGCCCACAGACGATGATTCCATCGCTAAACAAAATGCGCGAGCCCAGAAAAGCACTGTAAACCTGCAAACTCTCAACCCTAAACCCTGAGCCTAAACCCTGAAGCCTAAACCCGAAGCCCACCGACGCCGTCTGACATGTTTGAAAGGAAGTTGTGGAAAAACGCTCGGGGCTGGGGCTTTTGGGCCCCGGACCAGGCCTTGGGCTTTGCGAGTGCTTGGAGGGACTTAGCTTCGGAGCCCTCCGCAGCACTCCGGGCCTTGGCTCCCTCAGCACCGATCTGGTTGTAACTGAGGACGATAAGGGTGACGCTGCCGTTCGTCTTGAGGGCCTCGGCTAAGGCCTGCGGCGAGGGGATGGTGCAGGTCTTGCCCCGAACCGAGCGCGGAGAAAAACAAGCTTCTTTTCGCGAGCGAAATGACATGGAGAGTTTGCTTGTGAGACAAACATACAACGCGCACATGCTGAGATCTGTGCGCTGGAAGCACACACACACACAAGCTTGATGAGACACAAGATACCCCTGTGGCGAGACTTGTGCGCTAGCACGTAGAAGCTTGAGATACAGGAGACATGTTGATGGCCGCACGGGCAAAAATGGGGAAGCAGCGAGATGACATTAAGAATTTGTTCGCGAGACCAGATACCCACGTGCCGAGATTGTTTCGCCAGAAGCCATACAAGCTTGGGATACAAGAGACATCTCGGCTGTTGCACGGTAAGTTTACGTGCTGCGCCCCGAAACCAGCACGGAGAAAAACAGGTTTTTTCTGCAAATGTTTGACATGCCAAATCTCCGTGCCCAGATTTGTGCGCCAGACGCTCGCACAAGCTTGAGACACAAAATTTACCGCACTTGCCCCGAACCTAGCATGGAAAGATAGTCTTTTCTCCGCACTTGAGGTGACGCTGAGACTTTTGTTGGCAAGACAAGACACCCACGATCACCCACGTGCCGAGAGCTGTGTGCCAGAAGCAAACCTGCGGCTGTTGCAGGCTGGAAGCAGGAGGTTGGAGGCCCTGCGTGAAAGCAGCAGCTGATGCGACATTGAACAGACCAATACCCTGAGGTTCTTTTTGGGCGATAGCGTGCCGCGGCAGGAATGATGAATTTTTGCCACCGCGGCAAGAATGATTCTTGCCGTGGCTCGGCAAAAAAACGTGAGTGTTGCCGCCGCGTGGTAAAACAGTTTCAGGCCACACGGTTGGATTCATGCAAAGAATCTGATGAACGTAAGCTTGCTGCACGCCAGGGTACTTTCAAAGGTATACTTGCTCGCTGGTTGTTGTGCTTGACCATCGTTATTGAGTCTGTCAGGGAGGAGTGCTCTGGGCTTGTTTTGCCGTCACCTATGCCTTAAGCTGAACCTCCTGGCAATCAATGCAGCAAAAATGCATAACAGAGTAAGGCAAAGCTGTTTCAGGTTAGGTCTCAGGAGGTCTCAGCGTGACCGACGCCGTGTGGTCTGGTTCGTGCCCTTGCTCAGTGCGGGTGGGTGAATCAACCACTGCACACGGGTGCGTTGACAATGGCGGGGTCTGAAATTACAGAGTGGACTCTGTGGAGGATGGATGCCGCCGGAAGTATGATAGCGGCAAAGCTTGTCTGTAGGACCCGGTGTGTCATGGGCCGAAAGACACCCACGGGGGTGACCATGTAAACCCTAATAATTCCCCATTGTCACCACTGGCACCGCTTCGCTGATCTGTTTCCAACCTGATGCCCTAACAGATTTCGGCTCAGTCTGTTCTTTCGGTCTCAGCGATCGAAAAAGCATGAGCAGCTTTTGTTCAGCACAAACGACATGCCACCTCCGCCCCCCTTCCCGGAATTCGTTCACGCCGTTTGCCCTTTCTCTTCGAATTTCACATTTTCTGAGGTTTCGAGAATCAAGGGTCGCTATATTTGAGTCACGCGTGCTGTGTTTGGGCATGTGCACAAGCATCCCGACTTGCTGGAAAGAAAAGTTGTTGAACCACCCTCCCAGCGTTGGTAAGCGGATGGGCTCTCCTATAAATGTCGGGCCAATCAATGCCGGATGTCGACCAAAACTGAAGTGGATCGCGCTGCTGTCTCTTTTAAGACAATGATCCCGACAGTCGGATGTCGTATCCCAGGAGCCTCAGGCTCCTCGCAGTGTAGCCTATGGCTGCACGGTCGCAACTACGTAACTTAGTCCTGAAAAGGATTTGAGGCCAAAGGAGCTCCTGGGATCAAGAACACTTCATGCACACACCTGAAGAGTGGAGCAATACACATATGGACATGTCCTCTGACATGCCCCAGGAAAAGGCTGACGAAGCTCTTCAGTGTGTGCGGAAAACAAAATCGAGGAGAAAAGTCGAGTTTCCCTCTTCTTCCTCATGGATCATCTGTCTTCTTTTCTTTGCTGACACATAGGCACCATCGTACCTAATACGCCACATTCCACTGGACAAGAATCTTTTGAGAACATCCTGCTTACTAGCTTTCGTGAGACCATCAGCAAGTTGGTGATCAGAATCGCACCATAGCAGAGTGGTTTGTTGGGCCTCCAAGTGCTGACTCCGAGCCAACAACTCCAGTCCCGTGTACTTGTCTTTCTGGCTCGCCGCCAGGACTCCTTTGGAAAGGGTATCAAACATAGCTTTGGCGTCCACTACCAAGTAGCCCTGCATGCGCTTGGAAACTTCCTCGGGTTTGGTGGCTCCTAGGTCGTCTCCCATCATTTCTCGCCACTCCGAACGAGCGTAGAAAAGTTCTTGCTCGGCATCGGCTAATGCCTGAGATTCTGCCGAGAGGCTTGATCTCGCTACTCTGCGCAGTTTGCCACTACGCCAGGATACTGGGTTGACGCGGCCCATGCCATCTTGAATGGCCTTTTTGCTCATTAGGGCAATGAGGTATCCCCCTGTAGAAGAGAAATCTGGACGATTTGCAAGTGAAGCGTCGCTCCAGCCGATCATGCAGAGGTCATCGGGATTGTCGGCTCCCAATGCTTGCACCTGGCACGACAAACTCCTGGCAGCAAAAACCTCACGCACCAATTTATTTACTTGCTCTACCATGCTTGAGTCTTGAACAGCCACCAGACTTTGGAGATAATTCAGTTTGGCTGCGTGTTGTGGAGCGCTTTGGTACACGCGCCACTGAATAGATCCCAGAATCGCACGAACTTGACTCAGTTCTTCAGGATGAAGCTTGCGAGTCTCCTTGATGGGAGTCATTTGCTTAAGCTCAGAACAGAACGATGAGTGATCAATGGACACGGAAAAGTCTGGATGTTGCACTATCTGCACTCCACAGTGTTTGAAGGCTCCATACTCCCACGGCGACCATTCGTAGGCACCCTTGAAGCCCTGGAGGAAATTGGACCATGCCTGCGAAGACGTGTCTCCACATCAAAAAATCGTCTACGTGAGACGATACGAGACCCACCACAGCACCTGCGGCGTCTCTGATGCGCCACACGCAGCTGTCGGTTGTCAAACGCTCGGCACCTAGTGACAACAAAGTACGATGAACATCTTCATACCACTCTCTCGGAGCTGATACCAATCCATAGCAACTCTTCAACAATTGGACTTGAGGCCCAAAGCCTCACTGAGTTCGGGAACTGGAGTGGCATACACTCCACGATCTTTTTGAGGAGATTTCGCCTGCAAGAATGCGCTTTTGACATCCCCACACACGATTTGCCATCTCTTCACGGAAGCCATGTTCAATAGTAATTGCCTGTGGAAAGTCTTGACATTGCCGGACTCACGGAGGAGGCATCCAGAAGATGAGGATCGCTGTATCCTAGGATTACGATGCGAGCCTTCGCTTTTACGCAATCTTGGGAAGGAGGTGTACCTTGCACAGCATCTGCCTCGGAGCTGCTTTTGAAGGTGAGAACCCACCGCATTCTGAGCAGCTCCTTCTGAGGGACGAATTTCTTGGCAGCTTTCACCGCCATAGTCTTCATCCAGTTGTCCACCTCAAGAGCCTTGGCGGAGTCCATAGCAACTTTCTGCTCACTATTGAGTTTGGCATAGCTGATCTCCACGCCCTTTTGCACACTTTTGGCTCCTTCTATCCGCTCGCGGTCATTTCGGCCGCCATCATTATTTTTCCGCCCTGTCACCAGGCCCTAGGATGGACTAGAGAGACACACAATCTGCGAGCCGGAGGAGGAAGAGCGCGATCAACCCCTACTTTCGACTGACCCCCCCCCCCCCCCCCCCCCGGCCCCCCCCCCCCCCCCCCCCCCCCCCCCCCCCCCCCCACCACCTCGCGCTGTTAAGCATTATTGACGGTCTTGTTGAACATATCATGCGAAGCATGTGTGTCTACCATACATTGGGGGGGGAGCTGCGCCCCCCACGCCAACCCCCCCCCCCGCTTTTAAGCATATGAGTCTTGTTGAAACCCATCATGCGAGCATTGTGTTTGCAAATGGGCGCGGGGCGGGGGGCTGCTAACCCCCGCTTTTAAGCGTATGAATCTTTTTGAAATCCATCATGCTAGCAGTAGGGGTGGGGTGCGCCCCCCCAACCCCCGCTTTCAAGCATATGAGTCTTTGAAACCCATCATGCGAGGATTGTGTTTGCAAATGGGCGGGGAGGGGGGGGGAGGGCTGCACACCCCCCCCCCCCCAAAAAAAAATTAGTAAAAAGGGGATTGACGGGTCTAATACGTTAAACTTTGCTAGGTTGCTTTATTATTTCAATTCCTAACAGCTTAACATCGTCATTTTTCACAATCGCCTTATTCGTTATTTTCCTAAATTTTCACTAATTTTTAAATTCCATATTACCTTCTTCATTATTTTTATCTATCCACCTTATTCACTTTCCAGAAGGGGCTTCTAGGGTTTTTTCACCAACATTGCCTTTCTTACCATCGTTTTAACACATATTCAGGCCTTATTCATTTTAAAATAACTCCCCAACATTCATTCCAAATCTCATACCATCGCGCCTACTTCATTCCTCATATTTCCCATCCTACTTTTCCCAAGCTCCCTAATAATGCACTTACCAAAGCTCCCATTACTTGAAGTCCTTTAACCATCATATTAAAATCCACATATGGTATGTGAAAATCCACATGTGGTATGTGAAAATCCACATGTGGTATGTGAAAATCCACATATGGCATGTGAAAATCCACATATGGTATGTGAAAATCCACATATGGTATGTGAAAATCCACATATGTTATGTGAAAATCCACATATGTTATGTGAAAATCCACATATGTTATGTGAAAGTCCACATATGTTATGTGAAAATCCACATATGTTATGTGAAAATCCACAACCCGAGGGAAACGTTGCCATAAGCATTTTCAATAAAAATCTTACCACGATTGTGATTGTTTCCTCTCCATATTCTGTAAGTGTTGCTTTGACTGATTATGTATTTTGACATAACATTGTCTTACCAAACAATTGCAGTAGTGACATTCAATCCGAATACTATTTCGTTCCTTCGCCTGTCTTTGTAGCAAGTATCATAGTAGTCTTTTGCCTTGTCCTTGTTTTGGTTGTAGTGCATACGCTTTTGTTTCAAAACGAGGTCTCTGTTGTCTTCTTTATACTCTTTCGCAGTTCTACCAGCAATGATTTTATTTATACAATCAGTATGTTTTATGTAGTGTCCTTCCCTGCGTCTCAACTCATCTTTGCATTGACACGGGAAGTTTTCAATAAGTCCAATTTACAGTTTTCTATACCGAACTCGCTAAACAATTGAAAGGATGACATAAATTTAGAGGTAGATTTTAAGTAGGAGTTGTAATTCCACCTGTGACGAGCTATTCTTTGACTAAGACTTTCAGTGGTACTTCCTATATAGCATTTATTATATCCGACATCAACGATTTTATAAATCTTACCATTATGATACTTATTCATATCACTACTTATCTAATATTGTCTTTTCTTTAAAATGATTGTTAAAAACGACTTAAAGAGAAGCCACCTTATATTATAATGGAGTTAGGGGAGTACCGTTCAGTGTTGAATTTCCTATTTTCAGATAAACAAGCAAACATAAAACGTAAGGGTAATAAGGAATACAAGAAGGTTATTATAAATGATGTTGAATATCCCTATAACAAAGAAAAGCCATTAGTTAAAAAAACTAAAAACAAAACTGGAACAAGTTTCACAATCTCCTCAATACAGACGCTTCAAAATCCTTGAAAAAGCTTCCAAAGGCATTTTAGTAAGAAAGGCTTTAACAAACTACGCTATTAAGCACAAAGCCACAATCATCGACGAACAATCGGCTTTAAAATCTTACGCCAACACCTACTCAATATCTAACATAAAGCTTCCTCATATGAGAGGCTTATCTTATTTCATACACCAAAAAGACAAACTAAACGAATACCTTAAAGAACACAAGTCAATGAAAGTGATAGCTTCTGTTGAAATTGTTTTTGATGACATAGAAACAGAAGACGAAATAATACACTCTATAAAATCTAGACGTTACAATATATTCAATGAAGATGATTTAGTAAATGCTTTAAACAATATGGGCAAGGACATAGAATTTACAGTAGCAGAAAAACAAACAGAAAGGTCAGGATTAAGAATTAAAAAGGTTCATAAAATAGCGATACAACATGACAAATACGACTCTACACGAGCAAGAAAACATTTTGACTTACCCGAATGGATTATGAGAAAGAAGGCTTGTATCAACATAAAAAACGACGATGACATGTGTTTTAGATACTGTGTCTTATGCAAGTTTTATGAAATATTCAAGAAAGACCACCCGCAACGAATGTATCACTATAAAAAATATGTTGACAGCGACAGTTTCTTAAAATGGAATGATATGAATTATCCTGTTTGCAATGATGACATTGACCGTTTTGAAGAAATAAACGGGAGAACAATATCAATAACTGTTTATACCATAGATGAAGAAAAGAAAACAATAAGACCAGACAGAATAACATCAATTTCAAAGCCAGTTTGTCATGTAAATCTTTTACGAATAGACCACGACGACGTTTTTAATCATTACGTTTTAATAAAGGACTATTCAAGACTTATGAGTTCTCAAACCAACAACCACAAAGAAAAGTTATTTCACTGTATGTATTGTCAGAAAGGCTTTCAACAAGAAGCGCTTTTAACAAATCACATAACGAAAGGTTGTCTAGCTAATGAAGTTCAATCTACTAAGATTTTACGACGTTGAACATAAAGCCTGATGGTTTATGATGCTGGTACGTGCCCTTCGGACAATTAGGACTTTCGTCAGCGTAAGTGCCTTTTATTACATCTTTTGAATGTGCTGTTAAGCATTCAAAATCACCATATATTACATAAGGAGCTTTTAGTTTTTTGTAATGGTTCTTGAGTTGCATTTTTTCGTGTTCTTCTGGCTTCAATAACAAACGAAATGACACCTTATCTATACCGTGGAAAAGACTGCATGAATAAATTTTGTGATACAATGAACCAAATAAGAGAGAATGTTTTTGATAAAATGGCAGATGTTAAACCGTTAGACCCAACAGATGAAGAAGAAGCACGGTTTAAGAAAGCTACTCGGTGTTTTATTTGTAATCAAAAATTCACTGATAGCAAAAATCAGAAGAAAGGTAGAGACGCGAGTAGCTCGCGTGCTTCCTTTTAAGCAAATGAATCTTATTGAAAGCCATCATGCCAGCATTGTGTTTGCAAAAGGGGGGGGTGGCTGCCCCCCCGTCCCCCCCCCAACCCCCCTGCTTTTCAGCATAATATGAGTCATATTTCAACCCATCAGGCGAGCATAATGGGGGAGCTGCGGGCTGCGCTGCGCACCCCCCAATCCCCTCGCTTTTATGCAGTCTTTTATTTAGAAACATATGTATACGTCGAATTCGGAAATTTTTTGATGGAGAAAAAGTTTGTTTTTGATGGGTCACGCTTCTCGAAGAAATTCTAGATCTCTTATAAATACCCAAAGAAAGTTTTTTTTTTGATTTGAAAAAAGTTTTTTCTTGATTTTTGGAAAGTTTTTTTTAGATTGGTAGGGGAAAGTTTTTTTTTGATTGGAAAAAAGTTTTTTTGATGGGTTTTCCATTTTTCAGTGCATGATGTTGTCATTCAGCATGCTTTAGGTTCTTAGGTTCTGGGAGTGCTTCTGAATGTGATGTCGTAAAAGTTGTCGGAGCCGCTTGGATACCAAGAGCTCCTGGAACTGAAGCAACCAATATCATGTGTCTTGCTCTGAACTGTTTGGCTATGTGGAAACACTCTCGATGTTGTACCAAATATCAACGCCTGTGTTGTGATGGCAGACACAAGGTTGTTCGTGTTTTGTCTTCACGAGTCATTTTGAGATGTATAGTTGACGTGACTACATATATGACTGCATGTGCTCAGTCGTACCTCCGAACATCATGATAGAGCCCTCAAACCTGCTAGACTGTTGCATCGCAGGCGAGCGCCCGGATTGTACGACGCCCTGGCAACGATTTCTGAAGGATCGCGCTAGAAAAGTCGTGTCAATGAATTGAATAAGCGCAAGGGCAATTCTTCTGCCCTACAAGCCCCGTTCTCGTGGATGCGTACGGTTGTCAATTACACCTTCCCACATCGTCAAGTGAGCGAGATGATTAGTAGCCTCCTGCTAAAGAAAAGCAAGCCACGTGGGCTGAAAAGCTCAAGCTAGTGGCACTGATTGTTAAACGGGTCAGTCTGCCAGCAGGCCAGGTGTAGGGCACAGTGCATGCGTTGCAAAGACTGCAGATAAGGTAAATTTGGAATTGGTATGAAGCCGCGTCATACAGTAAACATCAGATCGCAAAAGGTGCAGCAATGACGACGCCTGCTGACGTCATATTCTGCGGAAATCCTGGTGCAGGGAAGAGCACTTTGCTATCTTGCGTCAGTGGTCGTCAGTTCAGATCTGGCGAGTCGGCATGGTGCGGCTTTTGCAGCGATTTTCAATTTCAGGAAAGTTGCCGCTTTCCTGGGTATCGGTTTGCTGATACCCCTGGCTTGGCAGACTGCAAATCTGCTGAGAACGCTGCGAAAGCGATCACCCAGACCTTAATGGATGCTGTGCGTAAAGGGCGTGCTGTCAAGCTGTTTTTCGTGGTTCCCAGTGAAGGTGGCCGCATCACGGCTGAGCATCTGTTGACAATTCGGAAAGTCTTGGGATGTATAACGCTGGTAGATGGCACCTCGCCATCAGCCAATTCATACGCTGTCATCATCAACAAGTGCGACACGGCCTTGCCAGAGCATCAGGCAAGGGTTAGGGAAGGCTTTGCAGTTCGGAGCCCGAGTCTGCCAATTCCTACGTGTCACGTGATCTTTCTTCCACGTGTGGGGGCCTTGAGTGGAAAGGACAACGCAAGCCATCATTTTGAAGGCCTGCAAGATTTTGTGCTCAATGTCCCTGCTGTTGCACTTGCAAATGTCGCGGAGATCTCTTGCCAAAGCACGGTCGAAGAGCTCAAACAACTCCAACAGAACGTGTCGCTGGCCTTTGACGAACAAGCGGCAAGGCATGAAGCAGAGAAGAGGCGCTGGGAGCAGGATGCCAGAGATGTGGAATCGGCGCTCAGGGAGGCGTATTTGATCCAGTTGAGACAGGAGGGAGAGGCCGCAACATGTCAGTTGCAGCAACTGCGTGGCTACCTGGCAAGCCAAACGGACCGGGTTTTTCAATCGCCTCCTCAGGTGTTCAGGTAGCACCGCTTGATCGTCAGCCTGATATGAGCCTTGATGTCAGACCTCCTGTGTTCGTTAGTCATCGTGACAATGTAAGCCCCGCAGGAAGAGGGATCCCATCTGGAGATGCAACTTGCGGAGCAACAGCGTATGCAGGTGCCCGCTTGCAGTGGCATAGTGCCTGTGTAGACACGCACTCGCCCACCCTTTGCAAACTTTGCAGGAGTTGACAAAGCAGGTGCGCGAGGATTTCACAGCCGAAGATTTGTGTTTTAAGATTGATGCGGAAGACGTGGCTGTGTTTTGATCATCGTTTGACTGTCTCCTCCAGCGGGCCTTTGCGAAAGTTTCCTTGCAAAAACAACGCGCGGCAGTCTACCACAATGAGTGATGATGCTTACAGGACCACTTGCGTGATCTGCGGAGACAGCAGAGGATGAAGGCACTGCCATGCGAGAGAAGAGATTGAAATGGATCAGCTCGAAAGAGGTGTGCCTTGCAGATTGCTCCGTGTGCATCTGATCGCAAGGTTCGCCCTAGACAGACCAGTGCGCACGGTAGGCGGCTACACATGCATCCTGACCAGGAGAGGGACTGGCGGCGGTCGATACAGGAGCACGATGCTGTCTCCGGCCTAGCTACAGCGATCAATGCGAAGTAGCTGCATCATGATTTGACAAACGGACAAAGCGGGGCCCCTTTTTGCGGGCTTCTTATGCCATAAGCAGCACAGTTCATGGAAAAAGTTGTGAGCAGTGTGCCATCCAGAAGACTTGGCAGGAGCACTGGGACCGCGAGACACTGCTGGAGAGCGACAGGCCGGTGGAGGTTCTCACCTTCTCTGCCAAGGCCATCTGCTATGCATTCGTTCCTGATATTTTGTCTTTGTCTGCGAGCTCCAAGAAGGCTCGGGAGTCTTAAAATTGGAGCCCTGTGCCGATGCTTGTGTTTCCCGTTGAGAAGTGCTTCTTGCACGCAAGCGCAGACCGCGAAAGCCTCTTTTTGGAGCAACTTCTTGGTCTTGGTAACGCAGGTGGTATCGCATTGGATTCTTGCTCATGCCATGAGGCCACTCTCCCCGGCATCGCATGACGGGATTGACCCTGCACGTGTTTTTCGGATTTTTCCTGTTCTGCCATGAAGACGCTCCGCCAAGCCTTTCGAGTTGTGAAAGTTGTGAACTCATGTCCAATCGTAATCTCCAAGCCGCGACAAGAGAGCGTTTGTCTCCCAAGTGCTTTGTCATGTGAGAAGTCTGAAGCCCCAATTTGGTTCGGGACAACAAGTAGTAACATCCGCCAAAGCACTTGGGATCATGGTTTGTCGAGCAGTGCCGAGGAACTGGCACTGCCAAGCTCGTAGATGCGACGCAGCTCGGTTTGTGAGCTTTCGAAGGAGTTCGGAGTGACGCCTCGAAGTCTGGCTCACTCCCTGCTTTTTTTCTCCAACAGTCGGGCACACTCGTGAGAAGCACTTGATGGCGAGGCTCCTTGCGATTGCACTTCTAAACTGCTCTTGTATTGAACACCTTGAATCAGGGAGACCAGCTAGCCAGGGTTTCGTCGTGAGTGCTCGCTTGTGGACGGCCCGCTAGCTTCCAGGTTGCTTAGGAGCAACTCTAGTCGCTTAATCGTCGCTGAGCAGATCTAGCCTTGAGAGTTATGCATCACTTAGTTCGTCAATGCTACGAAAAGTGCAAGCTACATGGCCAAATGGCATTCTCGCCAGTGGCATTGGCTGGTGCATTGTACGACCTAAATCCTGGCATGAGCTACGGGTGTCGATGAACAAAGCTGAGACTGAGCTCTTATCTCACACGCGCAGCAAAAAGCTCTGCTCCGCCTGGAAATGCCATTGGCGAAGGACTGCTTTGCACAACCATCATGTCTGACGGTGCGTTGTCGCAGATTTGACATGAGAGAGTCTGTTTGCTACTTGAGGAAAAACTCGCCATCGGAGTACATTTGCTCAATTTGACGCATAGCGAGCACTCAGTTCCTTCACAGACGGCTTTGCAAAAAGCAGTCGTGACGAATAAAGAGGTTGTCTCGCTTTTGCGGCAGTACTGACGGAATCTTTTCTTTGCAATTTGGGAGTGTGTTGACAACAACTAACTTAGATGCTGAAAATCATCTGTTAGGGGGCAAGATGGCTCGCTAGATCACGGTACTAATCTTCTTGGTGCTGGTCTTCTTGTCCCGTCAGAAGACGAACCGGTTTGGAGTGCTTCGGCAAAGCTCATGCCACACTCCGTTGTTAGGGTACTGACCTCAGTTTCCAGAAGCTTGTATTTTGCCCCAGCTTCCAGAAGCCAGCAAGCCTCTTTGTTGAGGGGGATGCTGAACTTGGGACTCCAACTAGGCTAAAGCTGCACAGACAAAACAGATAAGGAAGCATCGCTGGAACTCTTACCCAGACTTTGAGAAATAGCCTACCAAGACACATTGTATTGTCGTTGTACATTCGCGGGGCTATTTCTTTATGGGGTGCAACCTTCAGCTATTCAAGCAACTGTGGTTATCTTCTTGCGCGACATATTGGATTCAAAACTCCCGGTGATCCTTGCTCGGGGCTTATCAGGGTACCTCTTCCTGCACTCATTCCCGGCGCATGCTCTAAGGCGCACACCGAGAACGAAGCAGAGCAGGCTGCGTTGCTTGTGTCATTGCTGTGAGGAGTCTGTTGATGCAAGAAAACTGAGCTTTGCTGAAGCGTTCGAGTGCTGTGGTTCGCGTTACTATCAAGCTTAGCTGTTTGCAGCTGGCGGACGTTCCGGCAACGCTTTGAAACACGTTTGGCCTTCCTCGCTCAGCAATGCCGCAACACGACTATGACGTCATCTTCTGCGGGAACCCAGGTGCAGGAAAGAGTACTTTACTTTCCTGTGCAAGCGGACTCCAATTCAACTCTGGCGAGTCAGGATATTCGGGTCTCACGCTTGAGTTGGAATTCCAGGAGAGCAGCCACTTTCCGGGGTGCCGTTTTGCTGACACTCCAGGCTTGTCAGATCCAGAACGTGCGGAGCAGGCTGCTCAAGCTATCACGAAGGCACTCAAGGATGCTTTAGCGAGAGGGCGTACCGTGAAGCTCTATTTTGTGGTGCCAAGCGAGGCTGGCCGCATCACCGGGGAGCATTTGTGGACCATCCGACAGGTCCTGCAATCTATCACCCTGCCAGACAACAGCCGGCCTGATCGCAATTCATACGGAATCATCGTCAACAAGATGGACATCGACGACCCTGAGCAACAGGAATCGATCAGCAAACGCTTTGCTACCGAAAGCAAGAATGTCCCGATTCCCACTGCGCACATCAAATATCTTCGCCGTGTGCCTGAGCTGAGTGGAAAGAACAATGCACGATACCACTTTCCCCATCTTCAGCAGTTTCTGCTCGACTTGCCCGGGTTTCCAGTTCGGCAAGCTGACAGGATTGACGTTACGGACATAGAGGCCAAGCTGCAGGCGGCCTTGGAAGCAGCCTGGGAAGAGAACGAGAGGCTAATTATGATGCAGGAGTTAGAGAAAAGAGAATGGAACGCCAAAGCAGCGGAGGCTTTGAAGGACCTCAGGAAGGATCTTGAAGAGAAGATGCGGCAGCAGCGTGAAGTTCAGGAACAGCAGGTCGAACTGCTGAATGCTGAGCTCCTCAAAGCATCGGACGGGGGTTCGGAAACCCGGATATGCAGATATGCTAGGGCTGGGCAATGCATTACATTTCGTTTCGGCTAGCTGGGGTTCAAGCTCATGAAGATTGACCGTCCGCAGGAATTGCTCGGCAAGGTTCGGCTCCAGGTCGAGTGCTTGTGACTTGCTCGGAAAAGTTTCGCCAGGACCGCGCAGCCATCGTGCAGGCAGAGTTGGATCAGACTCGGAGGAACCAGGCGCAGCGAGGCAAAGCAAGCTAGCTGTTGGCTAGGATTCAACTCCGACAGTGCCAGGAGAAGGCGGAAGCGAAGTACGAAGAACAAGTTAAGCAACTTGAGCAACAGGTGCGGCATTTGTCCGAGACGGTCGAAGTAGCCCTATCTACACGGCGCATCGTCGTGGCATGTAATCTCCGCATCAGGCAGCAGACAGGGATGTGCGCGAGAAGGCCCTGGATTGGCGCTAGACTGGCAGAATGGGATCACGGCAAGTTTGAGTTCGCCAAAAAGGCAGGATGCAGTTTTCCGTTTCTGCAAAGAAGCTGCAGGATGCCAAAGCCTACATGGAGGAATTGCAGCAAAAGCTCGAGGTGAAGGAGGCCAGGGTCATGATCCCCCTGGCATTTGCAGATTATTGGTGTTCTTGTCTCCAGCTTGAGGACGTTCAATTGAAACGCAAGAAGGTGCAGGAGAAAGACAAGGCAGGAATATTTCCCTTAGCCGGCAGAGCAAAATCTTTGAATGCGTCCTGCGCGGTCACACGAGCTGCGTGTGGCCCTCTCGTGTGTCCTTGCTCTTCGAGAAGAGATAAGCTCTGCCGGGCATCTGAGCTTCGCTCAGGCGGATGACGTGGAGAAGTTTGAGCCCACTGCCTTGCTCGACGCGTTTGATCGCGTTTGTTGCCTGCGAACTTGCCTTAGTCCAGCGCACAGTGACAGTCTGCGACGCTTGCAAACGGTCAGCATGCTGACCCAGAAATTGTAACGATACGCGACCCGCCTCGGCCTGAGCTTCCGTAACGAGGGGGGTTGGGGGGGCCCTATGGCAGGGTGAAATGGTTTCTGGTGCTGGTCGGATAGGGGGGGTACCCATTTAAGGCCAAAAAGCACAGGCTGTCAGTTTGTAGGTGCAGAAGTTTGATGGTCCTGCTTGGGGTCGTTGCCGGGGAACATGTGTGCATCTTCCTTTGCTCCATGCCAGCTTTCGATTGAGAAGCGCGAGTCGGCCATGCAATGTGCCAGTTGCGCCGAAGGTTGAAGCGTTGTTTCTTGTGTGCTCATATGGTCAACTATGTCCAGATTCTTGCTTGTGAAGGGACAATTCACTAAGATGAAGAACACACCTGAATCTTGAACACGATGACGCAAGCACGGTTCTGAGTGTGTCATAGAAGCCTTCTGGCACTGCGGGAAACCTGCGGCATGTCATGTGTGCTTGCTTGCCATCCGTAGACTGGAATGGACCGCATCTTGCAAGCAGACTTGCTACCATGTGCTTTGCCAAAATGCTTCAGGTTATGCTGACCGCGCACGGTTGTGTCTGCAGGAAGTGCGCCATATGCGACGTCTGGAACCGAAAAAAGCTTAACTTAATTTTAACGCTACGCGACCCGCCTCGGCCCGGCCCAGCGCATCCGCGTGAGCATGGTGATTCCGCAGCGCCCAAGTCGCTGCACCCCAAGCAATGAGGGTTGGGTTTAGGGTTTAGGGTTCCGGGTTTGGTTTAGGGTGCAGGGTTGAGGGTTGGTTTAGGGTTCCTGGGCGGGGCTTCAACTGCCCCTGGTCCTGGCGAACCGTCCGCTTTCAGATCGTGGTCGCCTAGGGGGGGTACCCATTCCAGGCAAAAAAAGGGGGCCGACTTTCTGGGGTGCCTGTCCTCACAACCTATACACCTTCGGCCCGAGGCCTCGGCGGATTGTAGCGAACTGGAAGCAGAGTTCCATACGTACAGCCTTTTTCAGGCACGCTTGGGGTGAAGCAGAGCTGAGACCAGTGGTGACGATCACGCCAGGTCCAGCCAGATGCTGTACAGAACCTGCGAGGCCTGAACTAAAGTTAGTCAACTGATGCACATGCCTTTGTCATCTACCGGCTGTTTTGAAGTCTGCGGCATTGCAGGCGCCATATTGCGCAGGATCGACAAGGGCTTGCTCGTGGAGTTGAAAACTGGCTATGAGGCTGTAATATCCGATGGCATCATGGCAGTGGCAAAAGGCGATGTAGCTGAACGGTTTCACTTCGAGGTGCTGCCCAGCAGCAAAATGTTGTCTGATATGCCAGATGCGGTGGCGCTAAGTCCTATCTTGCGCCTGAATCCCGAAAAAGAGACCTTTACGGAGCCAGTTCTGCTGATCGTGCCAGTCTGTGAGGGAGCCACAAAAGTGTGGCGTTCACGGGAAGCTGGTGGCTGGGATGAGGTGGCAGATGTCAAGTTCATGGCTGGCCACGCCATTCTCCACCTTGACCATTTCTGCGACATGTTCAGTGGAATTGAGGGAACCCCGAGCAAGACTATCAAGGTCATCGGCCTCATAAACGATTCTTCCGCCAAGTTTGCCATCACTCACATTTCATGTGATCATTGCCTGGCTGACCTGGCAGATTTTCTTGCTGATTGTGATCTCAAAGGTTACAGACAGTGCACTTCGGAGATGTCGATCGTCGGAAAGTACAAGCACCTTGACACCCTGAATTGCAGGTTTGTGGGCTCGAGTGGGCTGGATGCCGAGGAAGTCCAGTTGGACTTTGAGCACATGCCTTACATATCCAGGATAACATGCAAAGGCATATCGGAGTCCTTTCAGCTCCAAATCCAGGATCGAAAGAATAGGACCATGGACTACGATTTCCGCTACTTGGCAAGCTTTCAGATGACCGGAGTGGACGACAACATAACTGCATAGAGAGGCAATGTAATCTTCCATGTCCACACACCCCGACGTACAGCTGGAACGCTGACTAACGCGGGCTTGCTGGGGTGTTTGAAAGCCTAAGTGGCCGTCTTTATCGACTTTGAATTTATTTCTAGTCATGGTTTGGTTTGTGCTTTGGACTGACCCTCAGCAGGTGTGGTTGTGGCGCGGTTTCTTTCCACCATGTTTTGGGCTAGGGAGCAGGCCACTTCAGCCGCTTCAGCCCCCTACCCGCATAAGTCACGTGGTTTGTCGCAGTAGCTTTTCGCCTGCCCAGCGTTGCTTTGTCCACAGGCCAGGACACCTGTGCAAATCCGCACAACAGATGCGCATGCTGATGATCTTAAGCGGGTTGAGAAGGATCACGAGAAGTGGCATCACTTGTCGAGGGGAAGGCTGTGGAACTGCTCACTTGTCCTCTCCAAGTCAGGAACAACAGCAGCATGAGTCAGGCATGGCAGGGACGAGTCCAGAAACTGGAAAGCAGACGATCGAAAGGCGGTTTTAGGATTTGGCATCGTCTTGGACGTACATTCTGGGAAGCACCCGGTTCGTATCACCAGAGTGGGTGACGCTCGGGTTTGTTGGCTGCTTCCATTCGCGCTTGCGCTCCCCAGAAGATTTAGGGCTTTTCGCTCCCGGCTCCTCTGGCTTCCTAATTCTTGTTGTTCTGATGGATTTCGGCATTCAGGGTGCGTGTGCGAATTCCGGCTGCGAATCTTTCGGTGCGCATAACTCTTGACCCTTGATCAAGCTTTCTTGGTGCACGAGTCTCTGTACGCTGTTCAAGAAACTGTGCGCGCAGAGACAAACAAGTTCGGAGCCCATTCGGCAAGTGCTGCACGTGAAGAATTCCGTTCGTGCCCACCGATGGACGGATTCAAGCACTGTAGCTAGCCGGCTAGCCCAGGTTTGGAGCAGAAGTCTTCGTTTGCAGCGCCAGAAGAGACGTCATCAGCACCCACTGTGCAGCTTGGTTTTTTTGTTAAAGGCCGAAGCATTTGCGTCCTAAGCGTCACGGGTTGACTGGGATCAATCATGACACGATTTCACAGCAGTGTTTGGCATGCGACTTCGGCAGAGGTACTTCTCGGCTCCAGCAGGAAGCCCGATTCAGGCGGGACGTCAAGTACTCACAGGACGCAAGTGGAAGCGGCCAAGCCACGTTTGCTTGAACACGTGCAGTCCGATTGTTTTTCATGTTCGACCAAAGAAACCTTGCAAAGCCCGGAACCTTGCAGGCTGATTCTGCACTGCAGGAAGTAAGCCGGTTGTGTGAAGGTTTGAAGACTGCCCTATGACGTTCTGGAGTGGGCAGCATTCAACACTTGCGTGGTCCGGTAGATAGTCCCGCTGGTGTGATATCCCTGCTCGCATGCCCAGTGCTTGGGTTTAGTGTGCTCCGGTGGCATTTGCCGTCAGTGCTTTTGATCTATGATGCAGGCATGTGTCGCATCCGAGACTTGCATGGCCTTGGCAGTGTGAAGCAGCGCGCAGGTTTCCACAGGGAGCTCGACAAGTAGCAGCAGCTTTGGACCTTACGAGTACGCAGGCTGGACTCTGCCTTTCTGGAGGCCATTGAAGCCTGAATGTCGGAGCACGGTGTACTGTCCAGATCTAGGATGCCCCAAGCATTTTCGGGCACGTCCTTGAAAAGACTGGAACTTTCACCAGTCTTTGCTGTAATGTTCCACCATGCCGCAGGTAAGTGTGGTAAGGGCGCTCCGTCCATACAGCAGATTTCGTCAAGTGCTGCTTGGACATTTGCGATTCTCATCGCCCAGAGAGACTAAGGGCGCTCGCAGTAACCACTAATCAATATTACCCCACTTGCTGGCCCGGAAGAGCTAAGCCTGGGACCCAAAGAGGAGACCGCGTGTGTGAAGCTTGTTGTAACACGCAGGCTCATGTTTTGACCAGGCACCCCAAATTTGGAGTGGGTAAACAAGCCACCCCAAATGAAACGTGGGAGTTGTAAAGCAAAACAAGGCGGTAGGGTTTGTGGGAGGAACAACAAGAACATCAGAAACTGGCCTGCGAATCAGAAACTGCGCATCAGAAACTAGCTGTGAATCAGAAACTCTGTATCAGAAATTGCCCCGATTCAGAAACTCCGCATCAGAAACCGGCGCGCGTCAGAAACTAGGCATCGGAAACCCGCGCGCATCTACTGGATTGGGGAGGCGGGGGCGTGGGGGGGGGGGGGGGGGGGGGGGGGGGGGGGGGGGGGGGGGGCGGGTTAATCGCGTGCAGGTTGCCCGCGCATGATCCCTTTCCCGGTTTCCGAATTCCTTGTTTGATTTTCTGATTCACCCGTCTGGGTTTCTGATTCAGCCGTCCTGGTTGCAGATTCAAGCCTGGTTTCTGACTTTCCCGTTGCGGTCTCTGACTCAGGTCTGGTTTCTGATTCAGCCGTTCTGGTTTCTGATTCAGCGGTTTTGGTTTCCAATTTTTTCGTCGACCTTTGTGAGAGTCGGGGGCAAAGTGGTGGGGAGGGGTGTGCGGAGGTTGGGTGGATGCAATGGGCACATGGCCACCTTTCGCTTTTTCCCTTTGCTTTATCTCCGCCTCAAGCCCCAAGCATCATCCTTTGATGCACTTTTGAGTCGCACCATCATCGCTGCCAGATGGTTGACGGATGAGGTACAGCTTGAGCCTCGCCGCCGTTTCAGCAGCTCGGAGGATGATGAAGCACTTGGGACGCACTGGAGATTCGCACATACAGCAATTCTTCTACTTGCCAGCGGCGGTTGCAAGGCTAATCGCCGACCAAACAGTGCTGGTAGCAATCCACGTCGCGCTGTTAAAGCAACCCGGATGCTGGACAGAGTTAGTTTGGCTGCAAAGCCCTTGGGAGCAAACACAAGTCGCCAGCACAGATGTTTCATGTGCTGTCGCCGCACTCGTGTCAGTGGATGTAGTTGAAGCCGTTCTCATGTTGACAGTCCTGCCGCTCCATTCTGCTGTCTTGTTGCAGCCAATTCGAACTCAATCTTGTGTTTGCCGAGTGAGCAGAATGCGAAGGTGGAGGCGACGGAGCCCTGCGCCAAAGTGGACGAGGATCCATGATGATGTGATGTAGGAAACGTTGTTCGTACTAGGCTAGCAGCAATTAGCAGGCCTGCGCAATACAGGATCAGGTACGATAGTAATACGGCACAAGGTGACTCAGAATCTCAAAAGACTCGAAAGTGGCCTGCAGCAGTCCAGGAAACGAGCAGGGCCCCATTCACATCTAAAGGGCACATGAGCAGCAGTGATCGCATCAACCGGGCTCCTTGAGTCGCCAAAAGAAGGGAGCCCAACTTATAGCTGCGCCGCTGCGCACAATATCTTGAAGTGATCACGCGACACAGACATTGTCAGTCAGCTGAGGGCGTTGTAGTCCCCTCCATTTCGAATGTTTGTCCAGGAGACACGTCGAACACATTTTATGATCTCCGGACGCTTTCGGAAGGAGGACACAGAATTGATGGCATACATGCAAAAGGCCAGAACGTTGCGTTGTTGTCGCTTCTGGTTCCCTTAGCATGTATGCTCTTGGGCACATAGCACTGCCCTGCAAACTGAAACGCTACCTCAGGTGAAAAATTCTCTGAAGGAGAAGGGGGCAGAGATATTCATGGTGGATGCGGCTTTAGCCGAAAGCTTCGGAGATAAGACCCTGATGGGATTGTTCCATGCAAAGGCCCTTTTGGCCTTCTGCACGGCGGATTATGGAGCAGAGACAGGAGCAGGCTATGAAACCTACGTGGAATTGAAGTATGCACACAACAACAAGCTGACAATTATTCCTATTCAGCTGTGCAAGCACTTTCCTCCAATGCCAAAAGATGATAAGCGGGGACTCGGGCAGGCTCAGAACTCCCTTGTCTTGAGGCATGACATCTTACGCGTCACAGACGTTGGTATGGAGGAGCCGGAGAGGGTGGCGGCTGACTTGTACAGCATATGGCAAAGAATGGCCAAAGAAGAATGAGCTCCTTCAGGTTCGAGGCATGAAGAAGCCGTCGACAGGGAAGCTCATGCCTAGCACCTGGGATGCACCACGCATGTTTTATTTTGGGAGCGTGCCTGCTCCACGGCCTCAGGGACCGTGTGTAAGTATGCGCTCTCAGAAGTAAACAGCACTCAGGTCATGTGTCAGAAACGTGTCTGCCCAGCTTGCACTTCCTCGCTGTGAGAAGACTGAGAGTGTCCATGCATGCTCATCTTCTTGCAAAGCCTGGCTTGGTCGCACGTTTTGGGCATGACCCCCACCGTTTTTTTGAGATGGGTCTATGCCCATCAGAGTGAGCTAAATGCAGTTTCGAAGGGATTTCCAGTTGGGCTCTGGAACTGCTTTCAATGCTTCCAACTCCTGACATGCAGCGACTGGTGACATGAAGGACGTCGAAGCCGCCTTTCATGCTCAGAGTTCAGCAGCGGTACTGGGCGTAAGCCCCGCTTTTTGCATCTTTTCCGTCCGCCCCTGCTGGCTACTGTGCCAAGCACGTAGACCAGCTTATGAGGTCTGTGTACCTCGTTTTCACTTAGCGCCAAGCTCACCATTTCTGCAAGATGTTGAAAAGAGAGGTCAGTCAGTCGGGATGCGAAGCGAATGTCCACCTTCCGCATGCACCTTGCAGGAGAAGCCGGCTGGAGTGACAAGGTAGGTGATGAGGCCAAGAGCATGTGTGAGGCCTTCGGGAAATCTCTGGAACAAGTCTATTGGCAGGATCCGTTGCTGCGGCACTCAGGACATATGTAGAAGTTTTACTGTTTCTCATTCCTTTTCGCATGTTAGCAGGCATCCGAATGGGGCAATGGCTTTGTTCCCCACCTTGGGGAGTGAATCTTGTCGGAGGCCTTGCGCGTAAGACGTTTGCCAGCAAGGGCTCGTACAAAAGGGCGCACCAGGTAATGCTGAGGCTTGGAGTCTGTTTTCACTGCTTCGGAGCCTGGCTAAAGACCCAATATAATCCAACTGCAGCCGCCACCTATGCGTCGCATCTGCTTGCAGCTGTAAGGGTCGCCTGCGGCTGTCAGGGTCATGAGCGCTTTTCCCAATCTTCAGAGCTTGTCAGTCTGACACGGAACACTTTGCTGGTAGTGTGACGAGTTGGTATGACGGGCGAAAAAGGACCCATCAGAGATTCCACCCCAAGATGCTTGATAACAAAAATGAAATCACATCCTTGATTACAGAATAAGGATATTCATGCTTCGGACATTCCAAAAGATGAAACCAGATACTTCATAATGAAGTCCCAAATCTTGATTATTACAATTTTCTGGAGTCGTAGAAAAGATACGAGCCATTGAATAATAAAGGACCCATTTTTAGTTCATTTTCATAAGGCCTTTTTCACGCTCATTTCGTGCCTACGTTAAAGTTCTGTTTTGTGTTCGCTTATTCACATATTTTATTGGATATATTCATATTTTATTTCCATGTCTTTAAAAGATATAAGAAGTCTTTGTATATAATATAAAGATTTTCATATATTCAATGTATATATTATATATATAATTATATATATATATACATATATATATATATGTATATATATATATATATACGCTATCTATATATATATATATGAATTCTTTTCATTTTATATTGGAAGAATACTATACTTCGGACATCTATACTATTAATATTGGTTTAGAGTGAAATGAATTCATTAAACCCAATTATTTGTTTCTATTTCTTTTTCATTGGGGCATTATTGTTAGGCGATAGAATACACACGTCTATTCATATGATCAAATAGGGGTAAGAATAAGAGAAATTTCGTTCGTATATTATATTTACACTATTTAACAATTATTATTGTCTTAAAATTTCTTATCTCCCATGAGACCATTAAGGTAATCAGGGGACACTTACAAGTCCCCATTTTTTCATAATGTAATGAGTGAGGAATCCAAGAGCCCAGTATGAATATTGAAAGATAAAGAGTGTAGTGATGTCCGCTTTTAATAGGAATAATGTATCTTTTGGGATAAAAAGTCTTAAACATCCAATTAAATTAATATATTTCGTGGGGGCGAAAAAAAGAGAATAAAATCCTATAAAATAATTGATTTCCATCTTTCTTATGGGCCTATAATCATGGTCCCCGAATTCGCTGTTTCCAAAACCATCGCAAATACCATGGTCCCCGAATTCGCTGTTTCCAAAACCATCGCATACCCGCGCGCGCACCCGCGCGCACATCCGCACGCACACCTGCGCGCACACCCGCGCGCACCCGGACGCACACCCGCACGCACACTTGCACGAACCCAGCACACGCACTCGCACACACACCCGCGCACCCGTGCGCACACCCGCATGCACAGAATCGAGTCGAGTTAGATTTTGAGAGACCAGGGTACATGACGTCACAAACGCTATCGGCATCTAAGTGTTTGTGGCATTTCTAAGTTGTTGGGGTGTGAGGTCTGGGCCCGGGATCTGACATGCCATGGGCCAGTGCAGAACGCCAGCAACAGAGTTTGGGCTTGCAATGTCAGATTGCAAGAGCAGGAACATGAAGCCTTTCACTCTAAGTGAGTTCGATTTGCAGCTGTTTTGGGTCCCAGCTGTAGAACGTAGACTTACAGAAGATTTTTTTCGCACGACAAGTGCTGGGTGGTTTAGCCAGAAGCAAAGACGGAAGAGAAGAACAAGGATGGGCCTTGCCGATTCATCGTTGAAGTTTAGGCGAGTGATTGTTCTTTTGGCACTGAGGAAAGCTTAAAGCCTCCTAGGTTTGGAATTTCAAATCCAAGAGAAGAATTTGCACAATTTGCAGCCCGAACCTTCTTGTAGGTTTTCAACAGTCTAGCTGCCAGGGGTTTGGAGGCTCAAGGCATGGAGTCTCATGCACATTCAAGTTTGAGGTTTCGGCGGTTTCGGACTTTTATATGTTGTGCTTTGAGTTGAGGTTGAGGCTTTGGCCAAGGCAAGCCAACAGTTCGGCTTCGGGTGTAAGCTTGTTTCAGGGCCGCATCCCTTAGCAGGTGTGCTTCGGACATCAGGCCTTGGCAAGGATAAACGTGTAGCAGTGTAGCCCTCTGTTTTTTGTCATCAGCCCACCTGTGGTCTTTAGTATTTCCAGTTGAGCAGCGGAGGAGGCATGGGAGATGAGCGCAGCACCTGGGTGCCAGTGAGCTTCAAGCCTGCTTCGGCCTAGGACACATTTTGTTTGGAAGGGTTTGCTGCAAAGGAGTCCACGGCTGATACCAGTCCCGACATAGTGGAGCTTGTGATAGAGCGTCCCATGGGGACGAGAAGAGCCAAGCAAACATTTCGGATGTAGGTTCGTTTTTGTCAGGGCATCGGATGTGAGAGCTAGGAAGACTGCAGTCGATTAGTGGGTGGAACCTAGGTCTAGGGGCCTGACGCTTTTTCCTTGCGATGTTTCTGGCTCTATCCTTCCGCTTCTAGGATGTTTAGGATCTAAGAGCTCTGGAGGAACGGTGTGGCATAGTGGCAAAGCCAGGGGCTTGCGAGTTTGCCGGGCCAAGAACAGCTTCCTGCGCTCCTTCAATGTTCGGGTCATTTCGCTGCGTGGTGCGCGTGTGTGAGGAGGTCGAGGGGCAGTAGTGTGTTCGGGGTTTAGACCTTTTCCTGTCTGTGGCTTCAAGCTTATACCAGCTTAGACCCTCCAACAAGAAAGCAGGTTCATCGAATCTGAAATCTCGAAGTCTCCATGACTCCATGATGTTGTTGCCAAGGCACAGGCACAACAACCCCGGCCCAGGATGCAGCAGACTCAGTGGCTCTTGAGATGTTTTCCACATTTTGAGGACTGACGTCCCAGTGGCTTGAACTAGTTGCTGATTAGAAAGTCGGTTCTCTCAAAGGTTCTCTCAATATTGGGGTTCCACCCTGAACGCCCTGCAAAGTGCTCTGATCCCAAATGCAAGTACTCTATCATGGGCGACGTAATGTCTCGGACGCCCTTACCGCTTGTTTCATACCCTTCCCAGTTTTGGGATTGGATTTTGTTCAGGTTGAGACTCAGATTGTTTTCGGAGCAGAGAAGAGCAGAGTCCAGTGCCCAGACGCACAAGGATGTTGCCGTCCTAGCGTCACAAAAATCCATACGCTGTAAGACCATTCCAGGGGCAGTGCAGCACTGAGCCTCGGGCTCTGAACTTTTCAGGCTTGTGGCAGGTTATGGGAAGAAGGCGTTGGAGCAATACGCAGGTTGCCCCGTCATACCTCGCCAAAGAGTCATGACGTGTGAGTGCAGCTGATCTACGTTCAGGGTCGCAGTGGCCAAGCGCAGGAGGAAGTTGAGAGCCCAAAGCCTCTGAGCATGCAGCCATACCCCCATCAAAACCTTCAAGCCCCAAAAGCCAACTCGGGGGCTATTACAGGGACGCAACGGAGTAGATAGGAAAGACAGGCAGGTCATGTTTCAACACAAGACCTGTTCAGTCAGAGGCTGCAGCCGCCTCTCCAACTCCGGACCCGAGCCCCGCGCGGTCCGTAGACTCCCCGACGTCATTCGTGGCCCCCAGTCATGAAAGCAAGTGCACAGGTCATTTTGCAAGGTCTTCAGGGTGCTTCAGGCTTGGAATTGTGGTTGCGGGCTGGGGCCTGGCGTTCAGAATTGGAGATGGGCTTGAGGCCTTGAGCCTGCCAGGGAAACTGCGTGCTCTGGGTGTAGGACTTGACTAGGATATCAGTCAGTGTTGTTCATGGGGGTAGCAGGGTTCCCTGCGATTCTTGCCGCGGGGAATGATCCAACACCGAGTTCAAGCAAGCTGGAGCCCTAAGCCCTACGAAATCACTAGGCCCCTGCTTCTCAAAAGCAGATGTGATGTTTGAGGACTGGTGGGAGGGGAGATGTAAATTCACATGTACAAGAACGTAGACACAGATCATGAAATGGAACTTCTAGGGATTCGATTGTGGATGTGCAAGGAACATAGGGGAATTTGCTGGACATGATGATGATGATGGCAGAAGTTATGCCGCGGTTCAGGTTTAGAAGGATAGACCAAGCGCATTTCGAACTTACTTCAAGGGAAAGCCTCCCCTCAAACGGTTGTTGCAGCAAGTGCATCCGTTGTGGTGTGAAGGTGCCGGTTTGATCATGTTCTGCGTCCGCCCATGTAAGGGGAGTTAACGCTCGAAGCTGGATCCTGAAACCCAAGACGTTTTTGCAGACTACAAAGCCTCCCGTAACCTTCAGTTTTCGCTCCTGTGAACAGGAAGGTTCCCCGATGACATCGGCTGCAGGTCAAGCGGATCTTCTTGCGAACAGTTTGCAAAGCCAGCAACAATATGAAGGGACCTCAGGGTTAGTTAGAGTGATCCGTCAACCCAGGAATCATCACAGGTGTCTTTTGCAGTTTTAAGGAGACGGCTGAGGCAAATAAGGGGAATGCTGTTTGGGGCACTAGCAATCGCACAGACAGATTTAGAGGGAGAGAATCATGAGAAATCTTAAAGGAGTTAGATGCTCGTAGCACATGAGTGGTAGATCCAAACCAGTCTAAGAAGCGTCGAGCTATTGGAACACTTGTACGTGCAGTAGGTGCCACAGGGATCCTGGAAGGGCCCGTAGAGTTTGCACAATCTGTATAGCATCACAATCGTGTTCGCAGCGTGGCCTTTTGAAATCAACATGTTTCCGTTAGGGGCCAGGTGCAGTCACTCCAAAGCTCAGTGTTTGTAGCGCTGTCAAAGCTCACGCATAGAAGCCATCTGAGGACAAACTGGAATGCCTTCCTGAGAAATCGCAGATGTGGATCCTGGAATTGCGGAAGCATCCTGACATCAAAGGCAACTTCAACTGGGAAGAAGTATTAGAAGATGCCGGACGTGGGGAAGACGTGGAAAAGGTGCACTACGTGCGAGCGACACTTGATGATGACAATTCCCTCGAATCTCATGAGAACTGCCACCGTGAATTTGATCAAGCACGTTACTTCCGCAAGCTCGCAAGCCCGATTGCGTTAAAGCTGGGCGGTTCAGTGAGCCAGGAAGAAGACTGGACTGAGGTTAAGAGGACACTTGAAGACCACGTGCAAAATTTCTCAAAGGAAGCGCTCGAAACAATCCCAGAGAAGATGTTCGACAGAGAAGAGGGGAAGAAGTTCTTAGAAAAGTCAAGAGATTGGGCAGATGAGAAAAAGGACATGAAACCACCAAGGGGATGGACATTAGACAAGCGCGAAGCGGAAACGTCCTGGGCTAGAAAAGACCTTCGCGGAGCGGATCTAAGCGGCGCGCAGCTGCAGCTGGTTAGCCTCTCCCAGGCTCGGCTCCTAGGTGCAAACTTGGAATTGGCTGCGCTGGAGTGTGCTTGCCTCAGGCATGCTGACCTCAGGGGCGCATCTCTTGAAAGGGCTAAGCTGAACAGAGCTTGGTGTCGGCATGGCCGCCTGGAAGGGGCGCATATGTATGAGACTGAGCTCTGCGGAGCATTCCTAAAGCAGGCTAATTTGCGATGGGCGCGATTGTGGCGTGCAAAGCTGAAAGGAGCCCTTTTGCATCGTGCAGACCTTTCCTGGTCCGTCATGCACACGGCAGATCTCACGCATGCCGACCTTCGGGTTGCCATACTCACCGGTGCTATCATGAAGAATGCCACCCTCATCAACGCGCAGCTGGACGGTGTGTACTGGGAGCACGGAAAACCGCCCATTGTCGATGGTGTGAACTGTGGAGTTCTCACAAAACCTGTGCCCACAAAAACGGTGCCCTGGCTCGATAGTTCTGCGAGGGATGGTTGTCAATTTTCATGTAGGTCATCAGTCTAACACAGGTTACTGTAGCAGCATTGTCCACCATCTGGTGCAAGTTGCACGTGGGGGCAATCATTCGAATTCCATGGTGAGCATGCCAAAGGCCGTTTGGGGTCAGTGGGTTGCTGTTGTTGCGCAGCGGACAGCCGCTATGAATTCGCATGCCGGGTGGGGGTGGGGGTGACCGGTGGCTGGTCGAAGGATTCCTTCTATCAAGTGTGCTAAATCGTTGCGAAAACCAACCATGCAGCATGCACAACATAAAGCTGCCGTATCTTGTCTGTCACGTCACTTCACATTCGGCTTGCTTATTGTTTCAAAGTGGTTGAAATGTGAGGTCAGACACATCCACAAGCGGCCGAAGTTTCAATGCGCTTGGTTGGAGCTGCTGGGGTGAGCTTGGCATTTGTCATGTGACTCTTTACGTAGCGTTCTGTCTGTGCAATCGTCTACCTAACGGCCCAACAGCTTAAACGCCATGCCATCTGTGAGACTGCTTTTGCATCAGCCCATGGAGAGCGCTGCAAGCAACACCAGGTCTCTCGTTGAGTGGATGTGCGAGCTGATTCAGCTTGTATTCCGGCGTTGCCTTGAAATATTTTTCGAGCGTGACAGCGATTCCGACGAGTATGAGTACGAAAGCACATTCAAGGCGGGGCAGACCCAGACCGCACAGCAATTGTCTTTGCTTGAGACTCCTCCCGAGAATCCAAATCCTAAAGTTGCAAGCCAACCATTGATCGCAGTGAGGAGTTTGCGGAGGTATCCGATGATCCACAGGACTCGCTGCCCACAGTCTTATCTTACGCTCAAGGCTCAAGGCATGTGTTTATGTACATGTCATTATTGCTTTGGATTTTAAACGGCGACCGCAAGAGTTACATGCCTTTTGCTGGAACATTATGTGGTAGTTAGGCGAGGTGGCACAACGTGGCACACCAAGGTGTGAATGTGAGTTGGTGAGGGGTGCCAACTCCAGGCGTTGAAGAGAAGAATTCTGCGCATGTGCTTGCCTTCTTTCCCTTCCCAGGTTGTGCTGATGTTGTGCTTCTACACTACGTAGTAGTGCTTGGGATTGTGAGGTTCATGGTGAGGATAGCAAAGTTGTCTCACTTAGCGAATGGCGGAGGACACAGATACGCAGCTGTCCGTGAAGGAGGCATAGTCCTGCTTTCTTGGCCTTCAGGGCAGGGGGTTCTGGATTCCAGGTTGTTTGCCAGTCAAATAGCATTCGTGACACTATCGGGGCTCCGTTTTCTTTTTTTGTCGGGATGGGGGGGCGGTGGGGGAGGCGGGGTGCATGAGTCCGGGGCTGCAGGTGCGGAAAGCGACCATGGGTCGAGGAAAAAGACACCAGAGCGTGGCCGCCCCGTAAACCAGAAACCGTAAACCATCTAGAGACCCAAGCGTAAGTGGGCTTAGGGCCTAGGGACAGGCTTGCTGGAGGACCCCTTGAAGCCGTCCCTACTTGGCAGAAAAGGCTTGCAACGTCAGCAAGCAGGCAGTGCAAAACCTGCGGCGTTGCTGCCTCTGTGTGTGTGTGTGTGTGTGTGTGTGTGTGTGTGTGTGTGTGTGTGTGTGTGTGTGTGTGTGTGTTTTCTTCTTGCAAAGTGAAGGGCGTGGTGGGAGCTGCCAAAGGGTCAAGAAGCAGCAAAGGGATGCTCCTCCCACTAGCGATCCAGAAGGGTGACAAGGGTGCTGGGTCTCAAAAGGTTGCAGCAAGCAGGTTTCAGGGTGTCAGGAGTCAGGAGGCCCTCTTTCATGTTCTTAATTGGCACACCGTCTGTGGGACTCGCTTGGCACGGGATCGGATTGCAGCTTCCCCAGTGAATTTGGCAGCTCTCGGTGGGCCGGTGGTGCGGTGTGGTGCCTGTTCCAGATGCCTGGATATCATAAGCGCCAAGTTTGTTCCATTCGGAGAGACATTCCATCGCAGCGCCAGCAGGATGCTGCTTCGCAGGTTTGAGGGCATCCGGGCTGATGTCAGTTTTAAGATTCAGAGCTAGGTTAAGAATGAATCGTGATGTAAGATTGAGCCGTCAAAGAAGTCCCAGGTCATAGCAGATGCTGTTCAGGTGTCGGGCTCTCCTTGGACATGCGCAGGTTGTGCTGAGGTTGTGCTTCTACACTACGTAGTGCTTGGGATTGTCCTGGATGACCCGTATGGTCAAGTAGCAGATTCAACCCACCTGCCAGAATATGAAAAGTTAGAAGGTCAATTCGCACACCTAGAAATTACAGGTGTCAGTAAAGGATGCCAAGTAACATCATGCAGTTTAGGTTCTTGCGGAATTCTTCTGCCAACGCCCGTGCATCTTCGGACACTTCAAACGTGCCCGCCATGCCCCAAGCTGGAACACATCAGCGAGAAGCCAAGAATCTGAACATGCATTGCACCACTAAGCCTCAAGCAGCCTTTAACACGATGCAGGGCATCCACAGCAAATGCACCGAGAAGTTCTCGCAGCAGGAGGTCGCACCTTTGGTAGAATAAAGATGCTGAAGTTTGATGCGATATTTTGCCTGCAAGCTTAGCTTCGGAGACACATGCTGCCCAGAAAACTCCACACGCCAGTGCATTTGGGGTTTATCCTGTGACTCGTTGGATTTAAGACCTGACCCATTCTGCAAGGGTCACGACATAGCTACATGGATCTATACCTAATTTTAGACCCCCTACTCCGAGTCGCAAGTGAACTGCTACGTAGCTGCTGTTCAGGTGTTCGGTCTAGTTTTTCAGATGCATGACGTTTCATGTAGACAATGATCTTACCAGGGTGCTGATGCTGGGCTTCTACAGTACATCGTTCTTGGATTGTTAGGTTCATGGTGAGAATCATAGCATGGAAACAGCTCTCTTACTCCAAAGCCCGCTCGCTGTGTTCATGGTGGAGGATGTGCTTTCGGAGCCGCTTCTGCCACGCCACCAGGCAGGGGTTCTGGATTCCAGGTTTTTTCCAACTCATGCCGCGATTGTTAAAAAATGTTGACACGCGACCGCTCGAGACTTGGGGCATTCCTGTCAATTGACTATAGGATAATTAAAACTAGCTTCCTACAATCAAAATGGGAGATTCCTTCGCACAACCTTTCATTCACTTGGCTTCTTGAGTTGTAAGCGAGAAATCGGACGTGAAGACTCCAGTATTTGGAAATTGGCTGTGGTGCCGAGGATGGCCATGGAGGTATTGTGGACGGTCATGGACCGAGCATGACCGAGCCGCGAAGTCACCCCCAGGCGCTTCGGAAGCCCGTGCGAGCTCCAGAAATGTTGCCACAAGCTCTCAGTAAGCCAATAGCCTGCCCCCTAACTTCGTGTGCTTGTCGCATGGTGTTACCCTGGAGCCCCTAGCGACGACGAAAATAATAACCAAAGGTGACGACCATCCCTTCCCCCTTTGGGCGATGAAATCTGAGTTGCTGGTCACTAGAATCTCCCAGGGTCGATCCCTGCGCCTTCCTTGAGATTGCACGAGTGTGCGAGAGGACTCGCGAGTCTTCAGTGACAAGCTGACGTATCCCAAACCACCCCAAACCTAAGAGGCTGCGAAGGACGGGGAGTCTGTCATGGGTAGCTTGGCTTGCAGATCCGTTCATTTTGCTATACCGGTTGTTTTGGGGTTCTTAACTCCGGTTTCTGCTTTTGGAAACTAGTAGCCACTTCAGAGCCACTTGGTAGGCAGTTCAGCAAGGCTCTATGGGATTTCACCTGCAACAGTGTGATGCGTGATGTTGGGCAGTCGCGCTGAGGGAAGGTTTGTTGTTGGCAGCGCTGGGCACCACTTGTCAAGATTGTAATTCGGGCCTCACGGAGCTAAGGCAGCACGCGCGCGTCAGATTAATAGTTTCTGTCAGGAGAGATGGTTGCCAGCTTCCTGGTCCCACGGGAGCATCTCGACTCGGCTCGCATCGAGATTGAAACTATGCTCGCTCATCTCACGAGAATGCAGGGGCCGGTGAACAAGCAGAACTGGGATGATACTTGGCTTGCCACTCTCGGATGCCCAGGGTTCTCAAATGTTCTCAATGTGGCTTGCAGGAGCCTTTGCTCAGAAAAGACGATTCTGGGCTTGCCAAGGACATTATCGATCACTTTCATTGCCTCTACCGCATGAAGGACACTTTGCGCGGCGAGAGAAGCAGAGAGGTGGCTCAGCATGGGTTTGTTCTAGACTTCCCGGTGCTGGGATTTATGCTTTTCAACGGAAGGTTTGTGGCCGGCCTTAGAACATGCGACGCATGTGTGGTGGAAGTATGCATTGAAGCCGAACTTTCTCGTATCGCATCGTGTCAGCTCCAGCCCATAGATGTGTGTTTTGTTATTTGAGCGATCGTATTTCGCATGAGCTTCTTAATGCCCGGCATCGTGACCAGCCACAATGAAAGATACACGGTGCTTCCTGAGTGGCACCGGCAGTGATGTTTGGACCGCGCTGCCCATATCCCCATGTTGCATCGCTACCCATATCTCATGTGGCATCGCCTTCACAAGTAGGAGCATCGGGCACCAGACAGTTCCTTACAGGTTGCGCTCCTGCTTGCCTTCAGGGGTAGGAGCATGTGGGACCACCCGCCCCTTTTTAGGACAGCTAACCTGTGGGCAGCGCATATTCAGTTTTGGTGCCCCCCTCAGAAGTAGACGTCGAAGCTCGCTGAAGAAGTCTTTCGTCTTGTCACGCTGAATATTGTTCAGATACGAATCGTTTGGCCTTTTGTGTTTGTGTTTTTTGCATTGATGACGGCTCTTCAGGTGCCGGTCCTTGCTGCAGTCGCTGCTGGTGAAAGTTTCAGCCGGCCTTGGGGCAAGCAACATGTGTTTTGTTTTATCGCTCTCTCTCTCTCTCTCTCTCGCTTTATCTCTCTCTGTCTCTCTCTGTCTCTCTCTGTCTCTCTCTGTCTCTCTCTTTCTCTCTCTCTCTCTGTCTCTCTCTGTCTCTCTGTACTCTCTGTCTCTCTGTCTCTCTGTCTCTCTCTGTCTCTGTCTCTCTGTCTCTCTGTCTCTCTGTCTCTCTGTCTCTCTGTCTCTCTGTCTCTCTGTCTCTCTGTCTCTCTGTCTCTCTGTCTCTCTGTCTTTCTGTCTCTCTCTGTCTCTCTGTCTTTTGCCTGTCATTTGGCCTGGGCAATCACGAAGGGACGGTTGCGAGACATCGTCGAAGTATGCTCGCCTTTTCGGTGGTGGGCACTTGCCAAATCGGTCCACATAGTGACATGAGTAACAAGCCAAAATCATGTCTGTATTCCAGATTCGAATTCAAGCCGCAGAGCTCATAGGCAGCTCCACCGAGGTCAGTTTCCCCGCCCCTCAATCTGACACGCGCATCCTGCCGCTCTCGCCTTTTCTGGCGCTTGCCCTCGCGACGCTACGCTGGGGTTTGGCTAGGGAGCAGGGGGGGGAGCAGGCGGGGGGGGGGGTGACTTTTTGTTTGTTTGGTGTCGATTCGCGGGAGGTACAGCATCGGAGCAGCGGCTCGCCAGCAGAGGTTCTAATAAGGTTCAAATGAGTGGAGCTGCCTTTAGTCACTCAGCTGTGACTCGAGGTTGCAGTATGAATCCAGAGCTAGGATGCTATCCTCACTCGAGTTAGGAAGCCGCAAGATAACAACCCGAACACGGTCCGAAGCTCGGCAGATGCCGCAATATGCCGCAGGAGTAGGGACCAACGGACAGCTGTTGCATGAGCTTAGAATACAAGTGACACCGTCGCAAACCACGAGACATCTCGAGCGAGAGGTTACTGCATACAAGAGTTCAAATGATCTTAAATAACGGCACTGTTGAATCACAGGATTGGCTCATGGGATAAGATTGGGATTGCGGGCCCTTGTGGAAGATGCCAGGTTCACGCAAAAATCTGGAAGATGTATGAGCTGCGCCGGGGAGTCAAGGCCAATAGCTTGCAATGGTGAAGCATTCGTCAAGACAGGAACAAGGAAAGGAGATGACACGGTAGCCTCAATTGAATGCTGACGTGCATGTGCATGGGCCGGTAGGCTTCCAACACCATGGATGAGTCACCTCACAGAGTCACAGATGGGTTAAACTTAGACGAAGGCTTAAGACCCTAAACCCTAAACCAGTCCGGTCCAGACTTGCAATATGTAGTCGTTTTTGGCCGTTGCAAACAAGAGTTAAAGCCATGGCTTGACAAGATGTGTTAATATGAAGGTCTCAAAAACCATAAAGTTTAAAAAACTCAGCAAGAAAGAAAAATCAAAAAAGGGGGGCGGAGGTCGGGACAAAAATCCTGCAAAACATGTTTCTCTCGCGAGTTGCACGTTGTGCAGCATCCTTTAGGACAAATGAGTTTATGAGGAGTTACAGTAATTACAAATTTATTATCTCCGTTTCCATCTTTAATAGAATGGCTTTGTGGAGGACATTATATTTACAATCCAACATTAAAGAGGTTCTTTGTCTTTCATTTTCTATTTCCATTTCTTCTTTGTGCTTTTCTTCTTTTTCATATTTTTAATCTACATTTTCTATCTTCTAATAATCCTTTAAGGAATTCCACTAATAATAAAATAGCATTTTTTCCATTCATTATTAGTAAAGATTTCTATGGAAAGATATTAATTCTCTATCTATATCTTCTTCAAATTCATTTCGGCTTCTCTTCTTTCTCACATCCAGATAATGCATTAGAAGCATGTGGATTACTTACTCCCTTACATATAGTACCTGAATGGTATTTCTTATGCCAATATGCTATGTTAAAAGCTGTACCAAATAAAATGCAGGATTCATTATCTTATTTACTTCTATCTTCATCCTATTTTACTTTATGAGAAGTCTTTCAATGTCATTCTATTTTATAATTAAGACGTCCAGTAGATTTAATGGTTTTTATCTGTGCTTTTGGTTTCTTTCACTTTTTTCTTTTATTTGGATAGGTGGTCAATTTCCTGTAGACAACTTTCTATCTTATGGTCGTATCTTGACATTACATTATTATCTTCTTATTTTCTGGTGTGTACTTCGTTGTGTTCTTTCGCTCAGTATATTCGCTCTTTCACACACTTCGTACTATTATTCCATTATCTGTACACGCGGCAATAAGTTTATTCGTGAAGCCGCGATAATAATAATATTGTAAGGGGTGCGCAACTCGCAGAGAAAGAGGCAGAGATTGCCAACCTGCGTGCCCAACTTGCCAGCCAAAACAAGAAAACACCTTTCCCCAGCGGCATCGTTCCACCCAGCCAGACCCAGATGCCACAGTTCTTCCCAGGCCAGCCAGGCGCGAGCTATTTGGTCATCAGGGCGCAGAAGGGGTGCTAGTTGCTTACGATGTCACCCTACGAGCGCGAAGTGAAAACTATGTTTTAACCCATTAAAAAGACCATGGATGTTTTCCCTGCGACCAAATAGCTCGCGCCATGCATGGCGCGAGCTATTGGTCATCAGGGCGCAGAAGGGGTGCTAGTTGCATTCGATGTCACCCTACGAGCATGAAGGAAGGGGATGGCCCTCACCAAACCCTACGAGCACAAAGGGAGGGCACATGCGACAAACCTCTAAGGGATATGTTTTACTCCTACAGTGTTCTGAATCCCAAAGCTTGGGTGCTGTTTGAGTACGCTCGGCCCGCCAGAAAGCAGGATGCTAGTTGAACACGCTCGGTTCCCAAAACTTGGGTGCTTCTTGAGTATGCTCGGTCCCCAAAAAGAAGGATGTTGTTGAACAGGCTCAGTCTTTTCGCACGCGCAAGGACCAACTAAGACGCGTCTCTGAAACCTTCAAACCTCGCACGCTGGGCCCTTCAAGCACGTTCTGGTTCAAGGGCTTTCAGGCCTAACCTCTAGGGGCCCTCGCCCTACGAGCAAGAAGGGAGGGGACGTGCGACAAACTTCTAGGGCTCTCTCAACAAACCCTACGAGCACGAAGGGAGGGGACATGCGACATACCACGAACCTCAAAGGGATATGTTACTTCTACAGTGTTCTGAAAGTGCAAGCATTAGGAACAACGTAGGATGTTTTTGCGCTTGTTTAGGACCTTGTCGCAGAGCAAGCAGGGTTTTTACCCAAGTTTTCTTGCTTCGCCAAAGGTCTCACAGCTTCTAAGAAAATGTGGCTCAAGTAAACAGAGATGTTCATCCCTTGTGTGCTGGTAACGTAGAAGTTTGTCGCATGTCCCTTCGTGCTCGTAAGGCGAGGGCCCTAGAAGGCATGGGGGTTCCCCCCCCCCGCTTTTAAGCCTTGCAAGCTTGCTTCGAGATCATATGAAGCCTCATCATGTGAGCGTTGCGTTTGCAAATGTGGGGGCGAGCATTGTGCTCCTCCGCACTCCCCCCGCTTTTTTTAAAGCCGTGCAAGCGTGCTTTGAGGTTATACGAATCCCTTGCCTTGCCCCCCGCCCCAAACCCCGCTTTTTTAAAAACCGTGCAAGCGTGCTGTTAGCTGCTAGATCAAACAAATCCCATTTGAAAACTATTGTGTTTGCAAATGGGGGGGGGGGCCTCGCCCCCCCCCCAACCCCCCCGCTTTTTTTATAAGCCGCCCAAGCGTGCTTCTTGGTCATACGAATCCCTTGCAAAACTTATCTTGCGAGATTGTGTCTGCAGATGGGGGGGGAATTCCCGGTGTGCAAGCGTGCTTTTAGTTCAACGAATCGCTCCCAAAACTCATTTTGCGAACATCGCTTTGCAAATGGGGGGGGCGGGGCCCAACCCCCCCGGCTTTTTGAAGGCGCGCAAGCTTGCTTTAGGACAATAAGAATCCCGTCCAAACCCATCATGCGAGCACCATGTGTGCAAAGGGGGGGGGTTGCTACCCCAAGGGTTATTAGATGTGGCCAGGTTCCGGACATGCGGTGCCGCTGAGGGGCCTGCGGAAGCTGAAAACCCTCAAAATTCACAAAAAAAACACACACACACAGAAAAGAATTCCAAATTCCAAGCAGACGAGGAGGACAGGAGGCCATGTTCTGAAAACCACAAGAAAAGCAAGACAAAACAAAAAAAAGACAAAAGAAATCGTCGCTCCAATAGCTCGCGCCAGAGCTCCACAATGGCCAACTTGCAAGGAGAAGTTTGCTGCGCGAGGCTCCGAGGCATGACGGTTTTTGTTTCTTTGTAAACTTTTGCATTTTCCAAGTGCCCGGGGCATCCTGGTTTTTGGGGACCGAGCGTACTCAAACAGCACCCAATTTTTTGGGACCGAGCGAGCTCAACTAACATCCTGCTTTTCGGGGAACGAGCGTACTCAAATAACACCCAAGTTTTGGGGCCCGAGCGTGTTCAGCTAGCATACTGCTTTTTGGGGACCGAGCGTACTCCAATAGCGCCCAAGTTTCGGGGGCCGCGCTTTCAGAACACCGCGAAAGTAAACACATATTCGAGGTTTGTCGTATGTCCCTCGTAGGTTTGGTGAGGGTCCCAGAAGTTTGTCGTATGTCCCCTCCCTTCGCGCTCGTAGGGTGACGTCGCAAGCAACTAGTGCCCCTTCTGCGCCCTGATGACCAGGGAGGGGAGGGGAGGGCAGGGGAGGGGAGGGGAGGGGGGATGTAACAGGATGCTGGTTGAACACGCTCGTCCCCCAAAACTTGGGTGCTATTTGAGTACGCTCGGTCCTCAAAAAGCAGGATGCTGGTTGAACCGCTCGGTCCCCAAGACTTGGGTGCCATTTGAATACACTCAAATAGCTTGCTCCTGGGGTGTTTTACGCCTGGGTTTTTCGCTTTTGGCAACCAAAAACGCAAGCTCCGACCATGGAAAACAGCGAGAAAGCGTGCGTGGATTCGTTTCCGGGCATTTAGGAAATTCGAAGGTTCACAAAGAAGCAAAAACCGTCATGCCTCAGAGCCTCGTGTGGCAAACTTCTCCATGCAAGTTGGCCATTGTATGGGGTGCCATTTGCTTGCGATGAAACCAGCTCTGGCGCGAGCTAATTGGTCATCAGGACGCAGATGGGGTGCTAGTTGCTTACGATGAAACCCAAAAACCTGTGCTGGTAATGCAATCGTGGCTCTATACGGGTTGTGACTATGCTCCTGTGACCAGCCAAACACGTTCCCTAAAAAAGTGGTTTCAGTACATTAAGATGTTTACCCCTGTGCTGGTGACGTAATCGTGGCTCCATAAGGGTTGTGAATATTTCCCGGCGACCAGCCCTGAAAACCGGTGTTCTAACGTGTTAACACACCATGGATGTTTACCCTGTGACCAAATAGCTCACGCCATGGCGCGAGCTATTTGGTCATCATTGCGCAGATGGGGTGCTAGTTGCTTACGATGTCACCCTACGAGCGCGAAGGGAGGGGACGTGCGTCAAACTGCTAGGGCCCCCACCAAACCCTACGCGCACAAAGGGAGGAAACATACGACAAGCTGTTAAGGTGCGACAACCTTTAAGGGGTATGCTTTTGCTTCTATAGTGTTCTGAATCCCAAAGCTTGGGTGCTGTTTGAGTACGCTCGGCCTCCCAAAAAGCAGGATGCTAGTTGAACACGCTCGGTCCCCAAAACTTAGGTGCTATTTGAGTACGCTCGGTCCTGCAAAGCCGGATGCTAGTTGAAAACGCTCGGTCCCCAAAACTTGGGTGCTATTTAAGTACGCTCGGTCGCCAAAAAGCAGGATGCTAGTTGAACACGCTCAGTTTTTTGCACGCACAAGGACCAACCAAGCCGCCTCTCTGAAACCTTCAAACCTCGCACGCTGGGCCCTTCAAGCACGTTATGGTTCTAGAGCTTTCAGAGTCAGAGTAACCTCGAGGGGCCCTCACCCTACGAGCACGAAGGGAGGGGACATGCGACAAACTTCTAGGGCCCTCACCAAAGCTCACGAGCACGAAGGGAGGGGACATCCGACCAACCTTTAAGGGATATGTTTTTACTTCTACAGTGTCCTGAAAGTGCAAACGTCAGGAAAACATAGGATGCTTTTGCGCTTGTTCCTTTTATTCGGTCCAAGAAAGACATGAGCTATGCCTTTGGGTTCTGACTCATGGTGCTGCATGACTCACCTATTAAGGGCCGGCACTGAAGTTTAGGGTCGCCCTAAACGCCCGTCAAGTTTTATGTCGCGTTGTTGTTTCACGCTTTTTCCCTTTCTGTACAATCTTACTGTTTGAGGTCTTCGCCGGCATAATTTTGAGAAGGGGTTTTCGCTTTAGGCAATCCTTCAAGCCATGGGTTTAACTCTTTCAGGAAAAACCACTTATTACAACCCTGGTCCGGTCACATGGGCCAGTGGGTGGAACTACGGAAATGTGGGGAGGTGGGAGATGGAGATAGGGTGCAAGGGACGCGCTCGCACTTGGCGGAGGGAAGGGGGACAGGACAGATCTCGGCAATCCCATTCTCAATGCCTTTCAGCTACAGCTGAAGCCAGCAATAACGCTTGCGCGCGCCGCCTCGGCAGCCGGGCCGGCCCACGGACAGGAAAGGAAGAAAGAGGGTTTCTGGGAAAGGCCTCAAAAAAGGGGAGGGGGCCCAGGGGTCCTAGGGGGTCCCAAGGTCCGGGGTTCCCAGCGGAGGTTTCGGGAGGGGTCCAGGGTCCGGGGGTACCGGGGATTTTGGGGGGGAAAGTCCCAAAAGCTTTTTGGAGCGCCCCCTCTAAAGGAGCCGCCGACAGGCGGGAGCCCCGGCGGCATCGGTTTGCAAAGGGTTGGGTTAGGGGGAAGGAGACCGGATCCCGTGTCTGCTTGTTCCAAACGCTTCTCAGGAACCCAGGCGAATTGTCCACACATTTAGTCTGAGTTCAAGCACGAGGTCACATTGGTTCATTGCCAGGAGCAAGCTGCCAGGAAGAGTAGTACAGCAAACGTGATGTTGATATGCGCCTATTCAAAACTGGAAGCATATCTCCAAGCTCTGAAGTCTGAACTGCCAGCCCTCGTAATTTGCAACATTCGAGGTAGCGCTGACGTTTCAGCATGTGCTGCGGACTCAGCGCAGAGCAAGCATGACGCGGTGTCATTCTGCCCCAGCCCCAAGTATAGTGATTGTGGAAGAGCGATGAACTGCACACGCTCTAGATGCATGAGGCCGAGAATTTCCGCATGCTCGAACGAGCATTTGGTGAAAACACCTTCCAACGTATTGATTGGTCTCCTCATTCTTGTAGCAGTGACGTCCAGAAGACGGACCGCAGTTTCAGAAATTCACATAAGTTAAACGCTAACGCGAGGCCGCCTCGGCAAGGGTACCGAGGCGAATGCAGGGTACGAGGGGCAATTGGAGCCAGGGGGGGTGGGCTGAGAAGGGGTGAGGGGGAGGGTTGAAGGCGGGGGGGTGGGGGGGCGGGGAAAACTCTTGATGGAGGGTTGGGGTTCGGGGGGAGGAACGTTGTGTTGGGTGCGCGTTGGGCGGCGGGTGGTGGGTGAAGGGAGGGGCATGGCGTGGTGGGGTGTGGTGTGGGGCGGGGATGCTGATCGGCTAAGGGGGGGGAACTCATTCCGGACGCCAGGGGGTAGCGGGGTGGAGGTTCCCTAGACCACTGCCGCGTCACTTGAGACCGAAAGCCAGGGCGCGCCCTCATGATCCTCCGAACTATGTGCTCCAAGAGGTCAAAGCCGTGGTCAGGGTCGTGAACAATCATGCGAAGGGACGCCATGAGACAACATCCCAGAACTGGGAGCACAAATAGGCCTTGAATGGATTGCAGAAGGTTGCATTGGGGTGTGCAGGGATGGTGGTCTTTAGTGATTGTTTTAGGGCTTGCAGGGTGTTCAATTCAACATGATGTTAGCTCGAACCACGAGCGGGGCAGACCAGTAATGACCGTAAACCCCCGTGGACTCCCAAGTTCTTTCTAGCACAGTTATGGGATGGTGTGTGTGTGTGTGTGTTACCCCTCGTTGAAAGAAATCCCATTGAGGCTTAAAGCATGCCAAAAACAGTCCGTACTTGCCTCGCTGGGTTTTATTTGGGGAGGATATTTAGGGAGAGGGTGTTGCACCTTGCGGTGCTTTCAGAATCCTTCCTTCTGTTGGCATTTCTTGTATAACGTCTGTAGCAACAGGCATTTATAGGTACCAACCCAATCCAACCTGTACTGTACAGCCTAGGATGGAGGAACCAGCTGAACAAGGAGATCGCGTACATCGATGCTGTGAAACAACAACAGTCCATGAATTCCACCCGGGTCAACGCGGCAATCTCAGGCCAGGATTTGAGATTCATGCTGAAAGGTTGGGGTAGTGGGAGCTTCGGGAGTTCAAGGTATGATACGGGCTGGGAAGTCGGGCTGTCAAGTTCTCCTCGCCAGGGAATATAGGCCCCTTCCAAGATCCGTCGAGTTCAGGATGTCACGAAAGCTAGCTCCTTGGAGCTCGCGAGAGTTGTCGTTTACAAGAATTCTCTCTAGTGTTCAGCTGGGTCAAAAAGCGACTCCGACCCTTAAGTGGTCTGAAAATCAGAGAGATAAAGGGCTGTGGAGGGGGGGGGGCCCCCCCCTCCCCCCCCTTATAGGATTGACAAAATCAATCTTAAGGTGTCCCCCACCCCCCCCTCCTTTCAGGGTCGCCTTAATTGATTTCTGGGGAGGGGGGGGGGGGGCCCCCCCCCCCCCCCCCCTCCCTTTTCAGGCTTCCCCCTCCGTCTTGGTCAGGCCCTGCGCCTGACTCGAAAGAAGCTTGCTTGTCAGCCGCGTTTCTAGCTTTCGTGGCCCCGATCTCAAGTTTGTACATGCCAAGAAAACCTGGCGCAACCCCAGCCCTCCGAATGAGCCATTTTGTGGCCGACGGGGATCCACAGTGACAGGGCCCGGTCCATGAATGGGAGCCACTACTAGAAGCCTGAACTCCACAGAGATTGAAACTTGAGGGCCGACAATCAGGGAGTCCTTGCAGCAGGCGGAGCGAGCATGAGCCATGCCGACTGGGGCGGCAATCACGCAAGAAGGCAAACAAGTCACAGATACGGATCGAACAGATCTTGGTTTAGAGTCTAGAGCAATAAACTGGCCAGGGGGTCAGGCAAGTGCTTGATTGTGCTTGGTGTGGTAGTTTTTGGGGATCTCGCCAGAGATCACCCCCAGAAGGAGCCATCGCCCAAGGGAAGGCGAAGAGTATGACTATGAGTCTGGCGGGGTGCGACTACTTCGGCCGGTTTCCGTGGCAAGGCAAACACATAACTGACATAACGTGCTTCCCAAGTGGGGTGAATGCCAAGCGTTGAGTTTTCGCTATGTGGACTCCTGGACTAGCCGGTCGATATGAACGTCGATCAAGAAGCCATGCCACGTGTGAAAAATCTGCCATGCTGACGCTGCAAGAAGGAGCCGTGAGCTGCTTCCATAGTTCCATTAGTTAGGGCGTGAGGCTGTTGTGACGAGGAATGCCCATAAGGACCAAGCTTGAGCCAGAGATTTCACGCGTCACGCTCCTGATCTTCTTGCGGAGAAGGACTTGAGGCTTCGCCCCGCAAACTTGACGACTCAGATTCGGTGGCAACGGGTTCCGCTAAATTGCGTTCATCTCACAACAGTTTCAGGGCCTAACCAGGCTGCTAACCAACAGACAGTCCTGAGCGGGGCAGCCATCCGCAAAGGTTCTAGAGTTCTCAAGCTGCTTCTCAACTCACAGTAAGATGGGTTTACTGAACTTGCCGCCCGAGCAAACAGCTATGTTGAAATAGGAGTCCTGAACTTAACGAAGCGGTCCAATTCAGCCTTCATCCCCAAGACAGTACCTGCACAGGTTGTTTCTCGTTCTTTTTCAGCGCCTGGTTTTTCCAGCACTTTGGTCTAGTACCTCAGCTGCCACCAGTGAACAGCATCGATGTTCTCCGGACAGCAACCCGAAGGAAGCCCTGTTCAGATGCTTTTCAGACATTCCCGTACATACAGAGGCTGATATCAGACTTTTGTGATCCAGTTGTACACAGTGTCGAGTGCAATGCGCACGTGCAGATGCACATGAGTTGGTCCCGAGATATTTGCGAACCATGTTCGTTGGTCTCATTGATTTGGTGACTTGCCATCTCCCATTTCTTGGTATTCAACTCCAAAACCCTGAGAAGCGCTGTAGGGTAGCTAGGGTAGTTGTAGGTTTGTTTTTTTCTTAGTTGTGATTTTTTTGCTTAGTCGTGACTTTTTAGTACCTGGCCTGTCAGCACGCGCAGTAATTGTAATCGAATTGGGGGTTTGGGGACCCTCAACCCCAACCTCAAAAAACCCCTAAACCCTAAAACCCCTGAGCCCTAAACCCTAAAAACCCCTTAGCCTTAGCCCTAAAGCCCTAATCCATAAACCAAAAAAAAACCCTAATCCCTAAAGAGCCCCAAACCCGAAACCCAGCCCTAAACCCCAAGAAAACTCCAAACCTTAAAAACCCCTAAGCCCTAAACCCTTAAAAACCCTAAACCCTAAAAACCCTAAACCCTAAACCCTCAAAACCCCTGAACCCTAAACCCTAGAAACCTGGCCCTCAGCCCTAAACCCTAAACCCTCAAAAACCCGAAGCCCTAAACCCTAAAAAACCCTAAGCCCTAAAAGCCCTAAGCTCTAAACCCTCAAAACTTGGCCCTAAACCCTAAAACGCTAAATCCTCATAAACCCGTAAACCCTAAAAGCCCTAAGCCCTAAGCCCTACACCCTACACCCTAAGATCCCCGGAGCCCTAAACCCAAAAAACCCGCAACCCTAAAAACACCCTAAGCCCTGAACCTTAATAAATGAAAAACTTAAAAACCCTAAGCCCTAAACCCTAAAAGCCCCTAAACATAGGCATGTTTTTTTTTCAAATCTCATCATGCGAGGGGTTTTGGGTTTCAGGGTTTAGGGATTTTTAGCCCCCCCTCCCATTTGCAAACACAACACGCGCATGATGGGTTCGAAAAAGAATAAAGCGGGGGGGGTTGGGGGGGGGGGGCGCAGGCCCCCCCCCCCATTTGCAAACATAAATGCTCGAAAACCCCTAAACCCTAAAAACCCCGAAGCCCTGAACCTCAAGAAGCCCCTAAACCCGAAACCCTAAACCCTGAACCCTAAAAGGCGCCCCTCCCAACCCGGGGCAAAAAATCCCAAAACCCTAAACCCTAAACCCCAAAACCCCCCCAACACCTAAGCCCTAATAACCCCTATAGACAGGCACCTCCCATAGGTAGGACAGGGCCCTATAACCCTAAACCCTAAACCCTAAACCCTAAACCCTAAACCCTAAACCCTAAACCCTAAACCCTAAACCCTAAACCCTAAACCCTAAGCCGGGAGCCCTGAGGGATAAGGCCTAAGCGCGAGAAGCCCCGCAAGATTGCAAGTTGCAAGACTTGAAGCCTGTAACGGACTGCATATGCTGTAATTCACAGCATTCGCAGTTTGAGGCCGAAAAAAACTATAGGCAAGCAAGGGTTTTGGCACCCCTCTTCGGGAAACGGCACGGAAAAAGTTACGAGTAAGCAAACAAAGAATATACAAGCAAGTGAATGCAGCAAAAACACAGAAAGTTACAGGTAAGCAAAAAAAAGTTACAACTAAGCGTGCTTCCGCGCTGTAGCCCTAAACCCGAAATTCATACATAGAGTTCGGGGTGAGGCCAAAGCGGTTTGAAGGCGCAACCAATGATTCCTGAGTGCCAAATTCTAAGCACAGAGTCTCTATGCAAGTGGCTTGCCGTCAACGGTTTTTTCTAGGGTTCGTTGACCACAGGTCTACAGAACAATCAGGCGTCCAACCGGTCTTAAAAGTTTCATTCCGTATTCAAAGAATGCTGCAATAGCCCTGAGAGTTAAAACCAAAATGCGCAAAAGCAGCTTCATGGCTGTAGATGGACCCCTGAAATAAGCCTGAAATAGAGGAACGGTCACCCCGGCACCTGCCTCAGGCCTAAGTATACTGAAAGGAGCCTGAACTCAAACCTCCAAATCCGTGGCTTGGCATCCAAGATCTACGCGCAAGAAAGCAGCGCTGAGAATCTTGGACTCCAAGTTGGTGCTTCTGGTGCAGCGCTCGAGGTTTGCCGGTTGTCCGAGTTCAGGATTTGTACAATATGTTGCCACGGAAGCTTGTGCGTTTTGTGGATCCTTGCGGTGCCGGAAGCAGTGTGTGTCTTTGTATATCCCCGCTCGTGGTGGTTCGACCTGCTGCTTGGGCTTTGCATAGGACGAAGGGCAGTAGGATAGATAGCCAGGTGATACTGGTTTCCGCAGGATTTTTCTTCAGCGTTCAAAGTTCGGGGTTTGTTTCCTGGGTGTTTAGTTGGTTTTTGTCTTGACCTGAGAATGGCAGGGAGCCAACCAAAGCATTGCTCGTAAGCCCTACTGGCTGTGCAGTGACGAAGGCAAGACCATCGGAGACTTCGGGGACTGGGACCCTTCTGAGGCAGCTGACTTCTCCAAGAACAATAGCACGCTACAAATGTCTCTGCGCGCAAAGACGCTTAGACACGAGTGAGATTCTGACATTTATCCCTACAGCCTATATGCCCTCAGCCCTAAACCCTAAACCGTCTTTCGGGCTCCCTTTTTGAGTTGCTTGTGCTTCTCGTAGGACGCTGAATGGCAAATTGCTGGGGTGTCCTGAATTAAGGACGGATCCCAGTTGAAGCCAGGCGCATAGACCGCATCTCACCACACATAAGAAGCTTGCAGGATGTCTTGTATACTGTGCTATCACGTACAAGAGTGTTGTTCTTGTAATGATAGCATAGTCTAGTGTAGTACAGTACAGTACAGGACAGTACAGTACAGTACAGTACAGTACAGTATGGCATAGTGTAGCGCAGTGTAGTGTCCGTATTGTAGAGAACAGTACAGTGTAGTCGAGTATAGCAGAGCCTAGTGGCAGCAAATCAGTTGCCTACGTTGTAACTTTGAAAGTTGGGTCCAAGGCTTCAGGGCTGGTGGACTCCATAGCCAGTAGACTTTTAGTTCCGAGGCTTCAGAGCAGCTGGCAAAGGACCTGTGGGTATAGGTTAAAGTTTCCGGAATTGTCTGGCTAGGTTGCTATGCTTCGCTCCAGAGAAGAGACAAGCATGCTCCTCCGGTTCGGTGAAGCCTCAGAAGCTAACACTGTGGCGATCGTTGTGCACAAGAGCCCGATTTGCCAAAAAAGCGGGGCTTTCTGCTGAAACCCTGGCTGTGATCATGAAAGGTTCCTCAAAACTGAACAAAGCAAACCCGATCCCGAGCGAAGTCCCGCGCGCGATGTTTGGGGTTGCCCGCGTACTTCAAGAACCCAATCATGCACCGCAGAAGCATGGCATCTGGCATGAACCATGACAAGCAATGAGCGCCGAAGCTGTGACAGTACTGAGATACTGCTTTGGTCAGAGCAAGTTGGACAGCCCAGCCTGGCCCTGTCGTAAACAAACCACTCGTGCGCGTCTGGCTGAGCCATTGCTGCGAGTTCAGGGATCGGTTGCAAAGCAACGCGCGCAGAACTAGAAGAAGGGATGCTTCACTTGAAGCAATCTGGCCAGTTAAACAGAAACTCCTGCCATCTCATGCCTCACAGGAGGAAAGCGTACTCTTCGAGCGTATAATTTGCCATCTAGTTTATTTCGAAACTCCGCTACTCCGCAGGCGAGTCCTTTATATATGCATGCTAAATGGAGGCCCCGTTGCTCGAAACTTTCGGCCCGGGGATGCCTTCCATAAGCGATTTTGAGACGGACAGCGTTCTGTAGGGAACCGCCGCACTGTGCATGACGCGGACTTTGTCCAACAAAACGCATGCTGTATTTCTTATCCGAATTCGCAAAACATCTTGACAGCAGCGTGTTCCTGATAACCATCTCTACTACAATTTTGCATGGTTTTGTTGATGGTTTTTGTACCGCCAAACTGCCCCAACTTTGCACGAAATCTTAACCTTGAAAACTCGTCGCTTGATCTTGGAACTTGGAAGCCCGGGGAGTTTCTGGGAATTAGAGGCGGCAAGCATGATGCACAAAAGGTTCTGGCAACGAAGGAATCAGAAAACATATATACAGTCAAATCAACGCTTTCCTGCATGCCCAACGCCACTATCAAAGCAACGAAGCAATTGTTTGATGTGGACCGCGCAGCCTTGTAAGAAAGCGTGACTCTCTTCTTGCGGCGGGTGGTGGAATTTTCCGGGAGCTGCGCGCATGTTCGATTTGGAGATAGCCTAAAGGGCTTTGTTGAATTGCGTACTTTGTTGTTACCTTTGGGTGCCCAAGTTCGACAGAATGCAGAACAGCAGACGCCAAAGCGAGCCTCGCTCGCCTCCGGGACTGCACAAGCAGCAGAAGCCAACGGCAATCGGAGCAGGAAGACGGGCCATCTCATTTCGAAGTTTTAACCCCAAGCCCCAGACCACCAATCTTGCATCTTCTCATGTTCAGGCCGGAGACAGAGACACGATATGGATGAGTCTTTACTGTGCAGCTTGTGTCTTGTTGGAGTCCACCGCCCCGTAGACCTTGCAGATCAAGCCCGATTCTTCACGGACCGCGGCCGTGGACATAGGCACGCCAAGAGGATAGGGTCCCAAGCTGTAAGGCCCCAATCGCTTGAGTCCCCAGTACCTCTGTCGCATTTACATCCTCCCGAATGTGACTCGGCGATGGAAGAACTCGAACATACTTAGACATCCCCACCCCCTTAACCCTTGAAATTTTTTTTTGGGGGGGGGGGGGGGGGGGGGAGGCCTTGAAATATTTCAGGCGGTTAGCTGGACGCCGAGGCATGATAAACCTGGGGGTGGGTGCAACAGGCTGAAATTTCAACATTCGGGGGGTAAGCGGCTGAAAATAATTTCAGAATCGAATTCTGGACCACAACCGTCAGGGGAAGGCAGAGGATGTCTGCAGACCATTAAAACAGACACACCGAAACAAACAACAACCCACGAAGCACATAAGATCACATAAGTACACATAAATACCACCTCTAGAGATTGTTGGAGGTTCTGGGGCAGTTGCTGCCTGGGCAGGCCGTCCCGGTACTACGTCCCCAGGGCGTTTTTATTTTGCTAGGCGGAGAAGGTGACAGACGACAGACTCAAAGAGAGAGAGAGAGAGAGAGAGAGAGAGAGAGAGAGAGAGAGAGAGAGAGAGTGAGAGAGAGAGAGAGAGTGAGAGAGAGACAACCGTTATATCCCGACCATGGTATATCCCGACCATCCCCGTTGAAGATAAATGTATTGAAAGCTGGGGGGTGGGGAAATATTGTTATAGGGTTTCCCTGGAGCCCCTTTGAACAAAATGTATTGGAGGGTCCCCCTCTTGGCTGAGGAAACTTGTGTGAAATTTCGGAGTGTGTTGGCGCGCCGCGCTTCCGGAAGACAATCGGGGACCCGTCCGTGTCCCAAACTCCTGGCTCCCCCCTCCTCCCACCCATGTATTGAGTAGTCCCCGGACCCCTTGGGGAAGCTTTTAGCTGGTTAGCTGTGGAATCCTGAGGTGGCTTTGCGCGCCAACTACATTGGCCTGGGCGCGAAGAGAGTGAGCGCGAGAGCAAAAGCGAGTGAGAGCGAGGGCAAAAACGAGTGAGAGCGAGAGCGAGAGCGAGAGCGAGAAAGTGAGAGTGAGAGTGAGAGTGAGAGTGAGAGTGAGTGAGAGAGAGAGAGAGTGAGAGAGAGAGAGAGAGAGAGAGTGAGAGAGAGAGAGAGAGAGAGAGAAAGAGAGAGAGAGAGAGAGAGAGAGTGAGAGAGAGAGGGTGAGAGCGAGAGCCGGGGACGTGGTACCATCGGGACAGGCCATTGTTCGACCTACCTACCTCCCCTTCAAAACCCCTGGCTGAAATTTCAAAGACCTTGGGGGCCCACCAGGCAACAGCAAAATCCTGAAGCTTTTTCATGCTGGCGACAAGGGGGGGGGGGGTTACCCCCCCCCCTTAAGGGGGTGGGGATACTTAGACTTGAGATGCTTACAGTCTTGACCGGCGCAATCCTTAAAGCTCCTTCCCCAACCCCGTGTGTCTGCAGCGTCGAAAGCCCTCCAATTAACCCGCAATCCTCTGAAGCCCCAATCATCCAAATCACCCGGCCCGCAGTCGATCCTAGACCGCATCGAGCCGAAGCCAAATATTTACCTTTTTTACAGGCTTTAAACCCTCAGCTGCAGCAAAGCTTGGTGAAGGGTGAGGTGTTGCTAAGGATCAAAGTGGCATTGATTGTCGCGGCCCCCAAGTTGAGTTTTTGGGGAAAGCCTCTCCGCCCATCCCCTCCCCATCTCGCGCAGGCGGAAGCTCATGTCCAGCCATGGAGGCATGGCCGCTGCACCGTGTTTCGCTTCCAGTTCTTATGGGACCCAAGATGAAGAATGCTCCACTTTGTGCAGTTTGTACATGAGGTCGAAGTGGAGCTGCAATATGGGTCCATGTAGGTGTTGTCAATTATGAGCTAGGGGGTGCCCAGATCGGGACCACAAGTGTTCAAGCTCGGGCCTTTAGAAAGCTTGAAGAGGTCCCCCGCTTTGGAAGGGGCTCCTGAGCGCCAGGATCTGGCATCGCAAGGCCGGCCGACTTCTTCCGTCGAGGTGCGCCGCCCAAGTCTGCAAAGGCATAGAGTGTAAATCCTCAGCCTAAAGTCCGTCCGGTGTCGGACGTAAGGAGCTGCGGTAGATGTTCTCATCCCCAAAACCATATCAATCTTAAACCTTATAAAGGTACTTCTATGGGGATCTTTGAGCGAACCTTTAGGAGACTGAGACGGAACCCTGGATTCTGCGCACGCAGGCACAGGGGATATCCGGATAGAAGGAGCTGTGTCCCGTCAGTCTGGTGAGCTAATTGTCGGCTCAGGCTCTCAGATTTTCAGTTGGTGTACGTGTATGTGCACGTCAGTGTATGTGCATGGATGGATGGATGGATGCCCTTAGCCATGGTCTGCTTTGCAGTTCTACTGGGAGTTTAAACCGGAACAGCTGCGAGCCAGCTTGATGATACAGAGTTGAAGAATTCAGGAGCGCACCTCATGGCTCCCAAGAGATGGGCATGCTTCTGTAGCGTACGACTCCATGAATCGTACGATCTAAAGAGTTGAGCACAAATATTATCACTGCACTGCCTGAGTATGCCTGAGTCAAAGGTGCAGCACAAGCCTAAAACATAGCAAGTGGACGGGGTTTTCGGGTTAAATTGTGAAATTCATGCACATAAGCACGTTCCCTCACTAAGAGCACAAGGCCTTAGATTCTACCTCCCAAAAGCGAGGAACTTCTGGGGACCAAACTACAGCGGCCACGTTTGCGGCCGGAATGGCTGAGGCAAGCTGGGAGCTATCATGCGCAAACGCTCGAAGCTAGCACACGTTGCGTGATGGTGGGTTCATATCGGCAGTTGTGCGTCACTGGTCTCTGCACTGCATTCATTGGTCATCTCTGCAGACACCTTTGACAGCCTCCCGCTGAATTGTTGGGATCGGCGTGCTTTCAAAGATGTCCTTGCAACACCTGCCTCGAGCCCACGGAAGCTTTGTCATCTGCCTAGCTAAGATGCCAAGTAGCTTGGTGATTTCCGGTTTAAGGTCAAGTTGAAGACCATGTGAATAACGTTCCATGGACAGGGGACCCACAATCCGCTTCCTGTTCGATATTGCAGCGGAGGTGCAGAGCCTGACCTGAAAAAGGAGAGTTATCGTGCTTTGCTGCAGCCCTTCTTCTCATTCCAGCCTCTTTGGGAGTTCAGCTATGTGCGATTCGCTTCCCACGCTGGGCGTCGCCTGGGCTCAAAGTGCGTTGTCACAGCTCACGCAGCTTCTGAATCACTTGTCCGCCCCCTCCTCTGCCTGTATTTTTCGCAGCACAGACATACAGTGTCCTAGGGAGTGGACGGGGGAGATTCGTCCCCATTGGCACCGAGTCAGCATCAAAGTTGTCAGTTTGATCCGTTCTTTCAGACCCTGTTACGGGTGTGGTACCAGAAACGTGTACCTTCACTGCCAGGGTTCTTGTCAGGTTCATGGACGATATGATTTGGACCTTGGCTTCTTCCAGTATATTAATATCGCATAGTTTACGGGTCTAGGAGTTGCCGCCATCCCTTCCTCCGCCGAGTACGTGCTCGTCACACCCCCATCCCAAGCCGTATTCTGGCAGACACCGGCCGGGCGCAGCCGATGCCGAAACCGAGGCTTGGACGTGAACTGTGGCATACACCTTCTGGCAAGGGCAACTCTACTTGTACTTATACCCTTGTTTCAGGCACTGACATATCTGTTGTCGCTGCGCAATACAGCATGATACAGCATACTATAACTCTTGTCTAGTATATGATTTTAAATCATACCATAGTAATGTGCAAGTACAGGTGTATCCGGCCGACTTCCTTGTGAGATTTTTCATGCATTAACATGTACGATTGCTGCAGGGATCGGGCTGCTCGAGCTGTTGCCAAAAGTGTGCTACCTTCTTATCGCTGCGCGTGGCTTTCGAGCCATTTCTCCATTGTTGGCTTCCGCGCCAGTTGCATAATGGTATACTGTAGTTTGCTAGCTCCAAGTCGTGACCGGTCCCCCGCAGCTCGCATCGCCCAGGCCGGGACAAGGCTGGGAGCCCGGCCTTTCCAAGGCCCGGTCGCTTTGAGGTGTTAGGGCTTTTAGGGTTGAGGGCTCTTGTGAGGTTGATGGTTTTAGGGGTTGAGGGTTGAAGGGGTCGATGGTTTTCTTGGACACGAGGAGTTGTGGGTCCTGGGCTGGTGTGTGTTTGCCGCCGGGGGGGGGGGTTATTGTAGATTCAGTTCAGCGCTGCAGGCAAGTAGAGTACTGGTCATTAGATTGGAGTATCCAAGAGTAGGGGGGGGGCAGTGTGATGGTACCACTTATCTTAAACTCTTAAACCCAAACTCACGCGGTCAGGGACTCAGTATGCAGGAAGGCGGCGCATTTCACCCAAGCAAGGCTAGCGCCATGTCTTGAGCCAAAAACAACACCAGCAGCGAAACGTGTGTGGAAGGCAGAGGCGGCAACCTCTGTCGTGACCTGGCACATTGCGAAGACACAGGGACAAGAGCCAGGCAGAGGCGAAGGCTGCCAGTAAGTTCGAGAAGTGGGCGAAACCCACTATGCAGACAGACTACATAGCTGTGCGCCCGGCGCCTGTGCCACACTGTTCGGCGAGCTTGAGGATGAGCACATCCCGGCTACGGAGTGCGTCGAGAAGAAGCTACACGTGAGCTGGCGACCGGCGAATTCAGAGCTGAGCCGCAAAAAGTACTGCTCACGTGGAACTCTTGGTAGACCATCTCGACGAAGAGAGGTGGAGGGCCAGAGCAGCTGAGAATAAGGTTGACTGTGCCACAACACCAATCATGATCAAGCTAAAACACTTCTCACGAGCCGAGTTAAACAATGTGGCGCTACCCCTCGTTTCACCTCAGAGCAAAATGCAAGCGTGCGTCAGAATTCGACAGGCTAACCCCAAACCTCCACCCCAAACACACGGGTCATTCGACTCCAACGACCTGGACGCCCGCCAATGTCCGCCACTTTGAGGAGATAATGCTTGCCAATGGGGGCAGGGTCGAGTAAATATCATGTTAAGCGTCCAGTGCACATCCAGGCCAACGGCGTTTACCCCCTTCGGACCCGCCATGCAGTTTCCGGCCGCCGCAAAATGCACAGGCTCCTTCCCGGTGTCACGCAGCGTGACAGGTTGGGCTTCCTGAAGGACAGCTACCTTGTACCATGTCACCAGGGCGGGGCCCTGTGCATTCTGCGGCAGCTGGAAAATGCATTGCCGGCTTCCTGAAGGACAGCTACCTTACAACACCAGGGCGGGGCCCTGTGCATTCTGCGGCAGCTGGAAAATGCATTGCGGGCTTCCCGAAGGCACAGCTACGTTGTTATACCATGGCACTAGGGCGGGCCCTGTGCATTCTGCGGCAGCGTGAAACGCATTGTGGGCTTCCCGAAGGACAGCTACCTTATACCATGGCAGCAGAGCGGGGTCCTGTGCATTCTGCGAAAGCTGGAAAATGCATTGCGGGCTTCCCGAAAGGCAGCTACCTGATACCATGACACCAGGGCGGGGCCCAGCTGGAAAATGCACTGTGGGCTAATGTGGGCTTCCTGAAGGACAATACATTTCGCGCTGCCGCAGAACGCCCTGGTGCCATGGTATACGGTAGCTGTCCTTCGGGAAGCCCGCAATGCAGTTTCCAGCTGCCGCAGAATGCACAGGGCCCCGCTCTGCTGCCATACGGCTGGAAACCTTTACGCGAGGATGCACACTCGAGCCGCGACAGGATGTTTACTCGACCCTGGGCCGCTTGCCAATTAGGGCCGATGCTTGGTGCTTCGCCTGCAGCCACGGGCGTAACACCCTCACCACAGATGTAGTGACATCTTTGTTTTCAACTCGATCCCCTGAGCACGCTCGCAGGGCGAAGTAAGCTCCACCCAGCCCACTCTTGCCGCGAACTCGGGACTGTCAGCTTTGGGAATGACAGGATGTATGTGAGGTCAGATCGTAAGGCTTCAGGACGGGGCTGAAATTTTTCCTGACCAGTGACCATGTCCTGCCTGATTTACCTACGGGTAGCTACCCCTCAGCCAGTAGGTATAGGTCGTTGAACACATCAGTTTGCCTCGTGTCGTCAAACGCCAGCAGCGCTTTCTTGCGACTTGCCGGCTGCCAAGCAAAGGCGAACGAGCTTGACGATAAGCTACAGCAGGCAGGGCTTCCAGTTTTGATTCAATTTGAAGCTTGTGGATTCGGCTTTTGGTTTTTAGGCTACAGCTTCTGGTTTTGATTTGAAGATCAGGAGTATATTTTACAGCTTGAGCGTCTTGTGCGTGCGGTTCAGGATTGGTGGGAGTTTGCGCCTCGTTTTCCTACCTGACCTCAACGGGCTAGCAACACTGTCAACTTTCGGTCAACATCTTTGAGCTTTCACCCTCTGCGTCATACCAGTGGTGCTTCTGACAGATCCTCTTAGGCTCGGTTACTGAGATGGCTTTGTGAAGGCGCGTCTGCAGGCAGGTGAAGAACAGTAGGTTGCAGGGCTTGTAGCAAAATTCATTTCTTGATGTTCGGAATACCTAGCCAGCAGACATATCATGAGCATGTAACCGCTTTCATGAGTTGTGCAAGCAACTGCCCTTCCCTTCGTTGCTTCAACTGATTTTTGCATTGAATGTGCTAATCTCGTCGTCCAATTGTCCAACCCCTGAGCCCAGCACATGAGCTTGCATCTTTCAACTACCAACGCTTCCACCATTAATTTGTCTGAAATGAGATCGACAAATGATTGCAAAGACTCGCCCAGGGCTATGATCTGCTGGATGCCCTACTCGGGGCCATGAAGGCCCGAGCAAAGAACGTACTAAAGTGCAGCATGTTCCCAAGGTAGCAGCTGTTGACTTGGTGTTCAGTAGTATTCGTTGGCGCCGGAGACTCAGGTATCAAAGGTTCATGCAGAGAATGATACCGAAGCTCATCACCAGACAACATGCACTTGAGAGTGTGGAATCACATGAGAGCAACCCTGATGTGTTTTGCGAGGGTAGGCACAGCGTTCCCCTCTCGACCTTCCCAGCTGACTGCCGTGGATCAGGAGAATGGTTCGCAAGGGCACGCCGAGCAGGTGAACCGTTGTGGTTTCGGCATTGCTTGCTGCGATGTTGAAGGTTTATAACCACAGACAGAAAAGGACAGGCGTGCAAGGACAAGCGCCGAATTCCGCTTGCATGGTTCGTGCATGCTGCAACTCGCAACAGGGCACGATGCCATACCATGCTAATCTTCGACAAAGGCATAATGGTCCTTCAAGGTCCTTCGTTCTTCCCCGAAGTCTAATGTCAGCTGCCAAGGATATTTTCAGCCACACCTGAGGGGCTAGGGAAGGGCCATAGTTTGGGGGCCTGAGTGATTCGACTGGGGTTTTGGGGGGACTTTATCGGAACAACATTACTGACTCTTCAGGTTGCCATATGCTCCTTTGTTGGGCAGGGCTCTGTTCCTGTTGGCATCCGGGCCGCGCCGTGGAGCCCAAACTTCAAACCCCTTATATAACCCCATCTCTATCTCTGATAGTAACTGAGAGTATGTGCGGTTAGGCCGATGTCGATCACCGCAGGCCCTAGCGACAAACCCCAAGTCTGACTTCTGGCAGGCTCAGAAGGCCTTTGCGACCCTCCTGCCCAGGATGTTGGGGTGAGGGAATCACTTTTTTTGCAGTGTTGTGTGCTGTAGATACTCAAGCGTCATTGCATAATATTGCATTAAGACGGTACAGTTGAGTTTAGTGTATCAAGAAGTGCTCTATACTGTGGGCTTCGGGCTTAGTCCTTCGGATTGAGATGTTGAGCTCCTGACTAGAGTTTCAGTGCTCCCGACACCCCTGGACTGTACACCTCGAACCATATTGTTCCCTTACTTATGGCCTACGACTGTCCAGGGTCACTGCAGGCTTCAAATCTAGGAGAACGGGGCTTAAAAATTGTAAACGCTTGCGCGCGCGCCGCCTCGGCAGCCGGGCCCGCGCACGTCCCAAGGCCAAGAAAAAATTCCAAAATTTCCAGCCGAGTGGGTCCGAGGGGAGTGTGGGGGCGGTTCCCAGGAAGGGGGTCCCAAAGGGGTGTCAAAAAAGGTGTTGTTTCTTGCAGGTGCCCCTTAATGCGTTCGGTTTGCAGCTCCTCCAAGTGATCTGGTGGGGGTCCCAGGGCGGGGGGGCGGAGGGGCGCATCACAAATGCGGTTGGATTTCGGGGCAAGGTTTGCTTGTTCTAGACGAGGCCGAGGCGAACTACGCTACTCCTTAGTTAACGAACATCCAAACTACGGAATCCTTTCCACAAGGCCCTTCTATTTTTGAGCAATTCACCCTTTTCACACGTGAACAGGCTGAAATATGTGTGCAGCTGCCCCAGATGGTTGTACATATCCCTGAACCAATTTTGCTGACATGGGCTAGTTGCCTCGCGGATTTGTGCTCGTTCGTATGTCATTCGTATCTTCTTCGAAGCGGGGCCTGAAATTCTGCTGAACAGTTGAAACCCCCAATCTCCGAATTTGGATTTCATTCTTTGGTGTAGGCTAGCAGATTGTTACTCACAAGTTCACAAACCCTAGCACTCTTCACCCTCAACCTTCAGCCTCAAAGCTCAATCTCGTAAAAGTGGTCAGATTCGGCAGGGCTGGTGACCAGCAGCCACAGCCTTCTCCTCCTGGTGCCGATGCAAGCTCCTCTGCCGTGCAGACGCAGGCTTGTGATCTCAAGGCTGGGTGGTGGTTCTGGGTTCAGCACGTACGGTTTGGGGAGCCTAGGTTGGCATAATTTAAATGGATGTCTTCATGAGCGCCACATCCGGCCCATCCTTGTGGCTTCTGAGATCTGCGCGCGCCGTGCTTTGGCTCCGGGTTTGCCTGGTGGCTGTGTGTTTGCGAAGTGTCTGATGCGTTCCATCACGAGCGGAAGGACTTGTCCTGTACAGACGACCTTCAACAACTTCGCAAGGACATGGAGGCCCTGCTGTAAAATCACTGCAAATTGTTTGCACAGGACAGGACAAGCCTGCACAGCCTGCACTTTTTCCGTGTCTCGCATAAGTGCAAGGTGGGTGCCTCAACAATCTTCCATAAAGCCTGTAGATGACAGGCCATTCGCACTGTTTCGTTCCAAGGATTAGGGCATGTCATCCTGGTTGGCATTCGTGGCTAGGCTCAACAGGAGAGAGAGTTCGAGAAGATGAGCCAGCTCCTCCAGGCAGCACGGGGGGAAGGGCTGATGTGGCAGAAGATCCCGCGTCGAGCTAGAATGCAACTTTCCATACTTTTGTCGTTCGTTTGAGTCACTGGTTGCAGAGTGCGGCCTACTCTTGCACGTCAGCTGTTTGGGTCCGAGAGGGATGACAGGGCTTGAAAGTCCTGTGCTCTTTGAGAATCCCTACTCATTTTGCGGTTCACGAGCATCGCGGCTTCGAAGCATTGCAATACCTCTACAGATCATATTCGTGCTGTCCATCGTCAAGGCGGTATGCAGTCTTGATGAGATTCTCGAGCGCGCTCATCCGTACAGAGCAGCCAGTAGCCATGTCTGCTTTGTATCGCTCGCACTCTGTGCTATGCACAGCTTTTTCTTCATTGCCCTACAACGCGCCTGCCACACTATATGTTGAACGAACCATTCGCTGCATTCGACCCCTATGCGTACACTGTTTCCTTGTGTTCGAGGGTGCGACAGGACACTCACAACTCAAGCAACTCCGTGCCAATGTGGAGGCAACGGTGTGAGTGCCCGAGAGCTTAACCATGGTGGTGGCTCAGCTGTGGTGTCAGACCCAGCGCTTTCTGTTCATATCTTTCGCTAGAATCGACAGATTCTGTTGCAGACCTGACTGGGCCTCTGAATCTAGCCTTGGCCCAGCTCCTGGCAAGGCGCAGCAGGAGAGGCAGTTCAATAAGATGAAGGAATTCTTCCAGGCAGTGACGAGTTGAACATGCAACACCTTGATCATAGTGATGTTATAGTAGTATCTACCTCACCGGCAGTTCCAACACACTCGCAGTGATGAGCGGCATAGGACTGCAGAAAGGGGCGCTGAGGTGCTAGCACATCGTGCTGCCGCAAGTCGATCGCATGCGATTGCATTCCAGTGGTTTTGGGCTAGACCATCGTAGATGATAGTAGACCGCAGCACGTTTTAGGTTCCCAGGTCCGTCTAGACCAGAAGACCCGAGTTCCACCTCGCCAACCCGAATCTGGGCAGTTTCTCAATGTCAGGCGTCCCTTTCAAGGGTCCTCTTTTGAGCATTCCGTATTGTTTTGGGAAGCCCTGAAAAGATCCATCGTTCAGGAATCTCTGCGTCCGCTACCTAGAACTGCACTCAGTATACTCTGTGAGCCGCGCCGGTCCAAATCCCATGTCACACACGTTGTTGCAAGAAGCCTGCCAGGCACACCAGGATGATATTGCAAAGCTCAAGGATGATGTCTCGAAATCCTTGCAGGCTCGTCTGCTGCTGCATGTCATGCCAGCGGTACCTTAATCAGACGAAGCCAGCATCGACTCTTGGCACATATGGTGTCGTGGCCTTCTACACAGCACGAATCATGTTTAAGGTTCCGGTGAATTCCTCTCGAAAGCCAATCGCCTGCTATACATTCTTGTGAGCCCTACGCAGTCCTCTACATGCCAGCGAAACGCTGCTGCGATTGCATGCAGGCTCCAAAGGAGGTGCTCTCGCTGCGCGAAGAGTTTTTTCCGTCACGCCAGGCAGGGGTCCAAGGGTCGTACTGTGCCAAACCCTGAATGATACCTTGACATGCAAGCTTCGAATGAGCTGTTGACTCGCCGCTCAAGCTCTGATGGTTTTTTTGTGGATTTGGTTCGGTTCGGACACCAGGCCCTCTCCTTGAACCTCTTCGGCCTCACCTCCTTTCTACTGCACCAGTCACCCTCCTGTCCTATTTTTGTGGTCTTCTGTCGGGCTTCGTTATTGAAGCCCGGCCAGACAAGGGTGTTTGGGTTTCAGTGCCTCCAGGACTTCCTGGAGTTCGGATCCTGTAGGAAACTTCTTAATTTTGTGCTGTCATGGAACCCCCATCAGGTTCAGTCTGTCGCCAGTCGGCTGACAGTCCTCAGCTGCCCGTTACTCCGGTCGTTGCCATACAGGGCCCCTTGCTGGGCGTTCGGGCCCGTGCAAGTATCACACGCGCCATAGCTGCATCCTTTCCTGAGCGCTCTCGCGCGTGGCTCTTCCACATCTCTAGAGCAATTTCTTCTCTGGCCGTGACAGGATCAAGCCGGCAAGCAGGTTGCTCCCACTTTTGCTCTTGCTCCTGTAGAGCTCAGCCAGCGCTCTAATATTCCGACGGTGCCTTCCGGTCGGCAGTCGGCCCTTCCAGTCCTTCCCTTCTGAATCAGAGGCTCGGACTTAGCAGCAGCCCACGTGCAGTGAACTTTTGGTGCGAGGTGATGTCCTTTGTCTCCCTGGAGGACATAGTCCTTTTCTCGCAAGACCCGCCGTCTTGGTCTTCGAGCATCCAACTGCTGGAGGCGAGGGCGAGGGTGTCATCGGGTGCCTTGCTCTTGTACAGCTGAAAAGAAACCATGGCCTGTTGCTGGCCCTTCCTGTCCGTGCTCCAAAGACATCCAAAGACTCGTGGCTGTGCAGCACATCATCAAGCAGCAAAGGTGGACGGTGGTGACATTGTGGATTTGATTGAGGTCATGCTTGGCGATCTCCCGTTGTATGCTCCTTTATGTCCTCTGTCTGGGCTTACTCTGCGATGTCGTCTATGTGACACTCTGGTCAAGTTGCACCTTTGCGGTTCCATCAGACCTGTGTTTGACGTGAGCTCTTTTCGGCCAGGAGGCGCGGTGCTTCTCTTGCATCAATGTGAGAATCCAGATCGACGCGAAAAATGGTTCTCTTCCCGAGCCGTGGATATTTACCTTCAAGATTCCAGACTTGACCCCTGAT